AGCGCCTCCAATGATCAAGATGGCCTCGCACGCTGAATTTCGTATATGGCAATGGAACTGCAGGGGGATACTTAGCAAAAGGGGCACCCTGCAGCAATTTGTCCGCTCTCACAGCGAGAAGCCGCAAGTGATCCTACTGCAGGAGACGCTGTCTGATAGTGTAACCCTCCCGGGGTACAAGGCACATGCAGTTAAAGGGGAAGGCAGAGGGATTGCCACGTTAGTCAGCAACAAGTTCACCTTTGTGACACATGATCTAGGGGTAAGACCTAATAAAACGGAGCTCTCCTTAGTTGAGGTCATTCCGAGTTCTTCCAACCTTTCCAGCATTTTTATACTGAACATATATAGTAGCCCTAGTGATCATAGGCAGCGTTTTAGGACGATCATAGCTAAGGCAACCAGAATGGCTGGGCTCTCTCCTCTGGTTGTGGCGGGGGATTTTAACTCGCCTTTCCGGGCGTGGAACTACCCGTATGATTCAGCTAAAGGCAGGAGCTTGTGGCAGGAGACGGGAGATGCGGATCTCTCGTTAATTACGGACCCGATGTTTCCTACTAGGCGCGGCACATCCACCACCAGGGACTCCACCCCGGACCTAGCTTTCGTGAAAAATGCTGGCTCGGTAGGTTGGGAAAATCTTCTGACGGATTTAGGAAGTGATCATTATATTACAGTTACTAAATTACAGATGGAGGCAAAATCTAAAAGAAAGTTTACTTACGTGGATTGGGATAAATTTCGGGAGTCACGCAGCGCTCGAGCGGAACAGGGGGAAATCCCGGACTCTCTGGGGCAATGGACAGAGATGCTGCTGCAGGACGTCAGAGCGGTTACCAGAACCATTGAGACAGAGGTACAGACAAACAAAATGGACAGTCGGCTTGCGCATTTACTGGAGGCAAAGCAGTCGCTATTGGCCAGATGGAAGGGTCAGAGACTTAATCGTAGGCTTCGGAAAAAGATAGCAGAGTTAAATACACAAATTGAAGAACATTGCAAAAACTTGTCGAGGCAGCAGTGGGATGAAATTTGTAATTCAGTCGATGGACAAATGCGAACCAGAGGTAAATGGAATCTTTTAAAACACTTGCTTGACGAGTCGGGCACTAAATCTAATCAGAGGGGGGTCCTTGCTAGAATACTTCATCTTGCTCAAAAATCCTCCTCGGGCGCGGAGCTATTGGGGCAGCTTGCTGAGAAGTATCTACCGCTAGCAGTTGATTCCATGCAAGCCTATCCGGGGTATATGGGAACACCTTGTGCCCATTTGGATGAACCCTTCACCATCAGCGATGTGCGACGTGCCCTGCACGAACTTAATGGCCGATCGGCACCGGGTCCAGATAAGGTCACCAACAAAGCGCTTCGGAATTTGGAAGATGACTCTGTTGAATTTCTTACTGATGAGATTAATAGGATTTGGAAGGGAGGTGACATCCCGGAACAATGGAAGTTGGCCAAGGTGATCCTCATTCCCAAGCCCGGTAAAGCACCAAGTTTGGACAATCTGCGCCCCATCTCTCTCACGTCATGCGTGGGAAAGGTGGTGGAACACGTTGTCCAGAACCGAATCGCGGACTACATAGAGCACAATGATCTCTTCCCTCACTACCTTATTGGCTTTAGGCCAGGCCTCTGTACGCAGGATGCTATGAAAATCATTAAGTGTCAAATTTTAGATAATCATACCAGAGACACCAGGGCGATCCTAGGCTTGGATTTAAAAAAAGCGTTTGATAATGTCCGCCATGATTCTATTTTAGATGCGATCTCAAGTCTCAACCTAGGTTCCTCATTTCATGCGTTTGTCAGATCCTTCCTGTGTGGTCGAAAAGCCATACTTAAAGTTGGAGATCTAGAATCGGATGTGCAAGCGCTGGGAAATAGGGGCACCCCGCAGGGATCTGTTCTATCACCCTTACTTTTTAACATCGTCATGGCTGGTCTCTCGAGGCAGCTTTCTGGAATTTCAGATGTTGGTCATACAATTTATGCCGATGATATCACCATTTGGTGTAGAGGAGGAAGTGATGGCACTGTAGAGGCGGCCCTGCAAGAGGCCATCGACACTACCGAGAGTTTTCTGGAAGACACAGGCCTTTCTTGCTCTCCGGAAAAGTCTGAGCTTCTCCTCTATAAACCGGTCAGGAGGGGCCGTCGACCGCGAGGCTGGGTGCCGCCCCTAGAAAATGACATCCACTTACGTACCAAAAGTGGACGATCAATCCCCAAAGTCGCTTCCATTCGGATCTTAGGTATGACGCTAGAAGCAACGGGCACCAACACCATCACGATTAAAAGGTTGGAAAAAAAGACAGACAGTGTTATTAGGCTCATAAGACGGGTGGCTAACCGAAGGACAGGACTATCAGAGGACAACTTGGTCAGGCTTATACATGCTTTTCTGCTGTGTCATTTTGCATATGTGGCGGCAATGCATGTCTGGAAGAGAATGGAAAGGGACAAGCTTAATGCAATGATCAGGAGAGCTGTTAAGAATGCCCTTGGGCTCCCCAACTACACCCACACCAACCGTCTCCTGCAGTTGGGAATTCATAATACATTGGAGGAAATTGCGGAAGCACAAGAAAGAACACAGGTAATTAGGCTGTCTGGCTCAAAAGCGGGGAGGATGATTCTCGCAGAAATGGGTATTCCACCAGCTCAGATTGAGGCTCTGTACCAAGGGTTGACGAGGGATCAGAAGGAAAACATCATTGTCTCGCCTGCCCCGCGGAACATGCATCCCCAACGTAATGTTGGAAGGAGGAGAGCGCGCGCTCGGGCCCTTCTTCGCCAAGTTGCGGATCTTGACGGGGGGGCCTGTTTCGTGGACGCGGCGCAATATGATGGCCAGAGAGACCGATTCACGGTAGTGGCAATCAACCACAAAGGCATTACAATTAATGCGGCGTCGGTATGCGCCAGAACTGCCAATGCAGCTGAGCAGGTTGCCATCGCCTTGGCTCTTTTAGATCAGCGTAATGAACACATATTTAGCGATTCTAGAGCTGCCATTCGTGCCTTCAGTGTTGGAGCTGTGTGCAAAGAGGCCAAAAATATACTCGGTGATAAGTTGCTTACAACCCATACCATTACATGGTTCCCAGCTCATATGGGAAACATGGACGGAGGGATCATAAATCTCAATGAGTTGGCCCACTCCAGGGCGCGAGGGTTAGCTGTCCGCGGCCATGGAGGACCTTTGGGTCGAACTGGAGATTTCGTAAACAGGGATCCGCCAACTACATATAATGAAATAACCCAACATTTCGCTATGGATAGGAGAATCTTTCCACCTCCACATGCGAAGCTAAATAGAGCGCAGGCGCTTACATTGCGATTACTTCAAACAGAAACGTACCCTAACCCTGCCTTTCTTCACAAGCTTTATCCTGATGTTTATTTAACCAACTCGTGTACAAAATGTGGCGGTTTAGCCACCTTACACCACATGCTCTGGGAGTGCCCTTCGGTACGTGGCACCGATACAGCATCGTCCAGAAAGTGGGACTCCGCTCTCCGGAGTCCAGACATAACATCGCAACTTTGGGCTGTCCAGAGGGCCCACGATGCGGCGCTAGGGCTCGGCCTTACTGTCCCATCGTGGGAGCGGCCCGCCGTGTGCTAGGGCGCACGCCTTCGGACTTGTCAATAAAGTTTTTCCAAACCAAACCAAACCAAAGGTGCTTTAGAGAACATTTAGGTCGAAAATTCAGCCTATCGACTTGAACGAATACTTTATCTGTTTTTTTTAATACCGGCTAGGCTGTTGGTGTTAGTGCAAAGACGCAAAGCTCGACTTGAAACAACGCCTTATAATAGTGGGCGATGAAAAGAGGATGCATGTAAACTAAGTAAGGTAAGCCGGGGTCTGACCCCGGTGGGAGGGGGTACGTGCATGGGGTAAACACGTCGAGGGGGTGCGTACGGAGATTGAAACAGAACGGAAGCAAGACGTTAATCGAAGCTTATCACCAAAGATAACATTCGCAATAAGTTTTGCCGGTGATGAACACGAGTTTTCGAACCCTATCAAAAGCAGTAGGTTCGATGGTGACTGAAGGGGCACGGAAAAAAATAGTTTTAATTTTGGAGACAGTAACGCCTTTTCATAGCGCTAGCCACTGATTTTCGCTAGAAGTAGTTTAGCAAAGGCCCCAGGCATGACGAGGACCACATAAAGTCGTTTGATTGTCTGGTGGTATAAGTTAGTCGACACAAAAACATCTGAAAAGCAGATAGTCCACTAACGCAACAACAGTAGAAGCCGAAATAAAATACAGACCGCTAAATACGATTCATCTGGTTGTGCCTAGTAAAGAACACAGTCCTTCGAAAAATATTTCCCCTTTTTAGTTCAGATATAAAATACGGTCACACGTGCATGGTATATGTATGCACATAATCCTGCACATGGGTGCACGATGAGCGTTTGCTACGTACCAGAAAGTTTGATCAGTAATTTTCAAGGATATCACACCCATCAAGGAATGATTGCTAATTATCTAAGCATGAGCAACTCAAAGAAACGAAGACGAAGGTATTGTCCATAAACAACATTAAACAACATGGAATGGCGCTCATATCGAAACATGTATCAAGACATTTGTCTTGAGACATGTCTCTACAGACTGGATACAGATCTTGACAGACTGGATACGGGTTTTGGTAGACTGGATAGGCTGAAGCTCATGTCAAGATATGTACATCGGCTAGCCCACCAGCGGATTCTTCTACAGCCAACAATGCCCACTTTTTTAAGGCATGTGTAGACCGTGGGCCAAGGACCTTCCCGAGACTGGAGGGCCTGAGGCTTAACCAATAGGAGGCGATGAAGGCTATACAGCATGATGAATCCATCATAGAACAGAGCTCTCCTTTCTTGCAACTATCTTTAGTCACTTATCGCGCGTGGTTGTGTACCCACTAAAGCTTCTGAAGTATCTGTACATTTATATATCCTTGTTTCTCTGTGTTCCATTCTTGCTACGCAGTGTCAAAGAACATGCTCTTCTTGACTATGAACCGTGGCAACATTGAGCGCAGATTTCTGGCTGAACTGCAACGCGTCACAAGACTGTCACCTCTGCGGACTCCTGACGTCATGGTAAGTGGCGACACTCGTAGCTCAGCTACATTATGTTTAAGTACGTTACAGTGTTATTTGTGCAGTTCCCATTAAGCTTGCACAATAGTAAGAAACGTGCAACGACGCAACGAGCGTATGACTTGTCCACCCTTGCAAAGCCAGAAAACTGTATGTTCGTGGTGTGTTTGTATGTGTGCACGCACATATCGACAAGCAGAATTTAAAAAAAATGTGGGACAGAGAGAGGGCGTATTTTATACTAAAGCTTGGTGCGACTTTTTTTTCTTTTCTTGTGCTGTCGGAGAAGTTTGTGCTCTGTGCTGGCGCTTGAGAGATAGAAAGAAGTCAGTGAGATGGTTAATATGCAGGCAGGCAGATGACTTATTACCCTTCATAAGAGTAATATATTGCATAGAAGAATCGTTGGCGCAAGACACACATTCCAAATATAGACGGCGTTTTACTTATGTACTTTTTATTTATTTTACAGATTGACTTCACCGAAAACATGGTCTACATCACTGTGCTCATTCTGGGACATCCCTTAATTTCAGGTCTGTGAGGCTTCTCACAATCCAAGTACATTAGTTAACGGGTCGCGCCTTTATATATTGCTTTCTTTAATAGTAATGGGATACGACCAATATTTCAATATAATGCATGCAATTTGCTCCTCTTGAATGTAAGCATGATGACAGGAGATGGGTCTGGCCGATCCAACACTATAAAATACAGCTGGCACCATTTCAGCATCTAGCATTCCATTTATTGTGTGCATATAAGGTTTGCATCTCAATACATTTACAAATTAGAGAGTACGCATGTGTTACAAAAAAAATTTACCTTTAAATTTCGTATAGCTTGTCAACCTGCTGAACGACGCGTCAGAGTGACTAGACAATCGTCAATCCATTCTCGGTGCAGCTGACTACAAGGAGATCCAGAACAAGAAAATCATGGAACCGGATTGGTCCGAAGGGGTAATCACGCTGGACGACTGCCTCAAAACGTGTTCGTCAAACCAATACAAAGAGTGCAGGTGAGGCGCCGAACCTCTGATACCCAAGTCATTGCGAAGTTTTACATAGAGGTACTCAGTGCTCTGCAGGATCATGGTCTGGGCGTAGACTTGCTCCATTGTCAGGCAATCAGTCAAATTTTCGTCACCCTTTTGCGTAGAACCTTTATGCCAGAGATGTATGCTTGGCAGTGATTATATTTAAAGCGCAAAAACAGTGAAAGCAACATTTAGTGATCAAGGTGTAACTTTAGTGATAGGAAGGAAGAAAAATACCGCAAGGCCTGCGCGGAACGCGCAGCACAGTCTCAGCAAAAGCTGGAAGAGCGACCTTTCAGAGCCTTTTTAAAGCACTCTTTTGGGTAACTGCTACAATCACACCTGCTAGGTACCCACTACGTCATAAGTCAACATAAGTTTTGTCTAGTAGGAAGGCACTCACTATGCCGTCCCTCGTCATTCTTCGGAGGAGCTTGGTGCTCGCTACACTCTTGGAATGGAATCCTGAGCAACTTTTCTTTATGCTGTGGCTGACGACGATGAAGAATTATGTCTGAAGCTTTTGTAATGGCTTGGAGCATTCGACGATGCACTTATTGCGCATTCCGCATCGTCGCGTCTGGTTTGTCCTTTGCTGTTCTAATACGTTTTACTACTCATACCTAACGCGATTTTTTTTTTCGACATCAAGCCTGTCTAAGGCCATTTTGCAACGAAGTTTGATGCACCAGCGTGGTTATGTGTATGGTCGAATACTAGACACGCAGGAAATTCTGGTTCGAATTCCATTGTGCCCATGGGGGTTTTATATACTAAGTTTTTTTTTTATTTCACGTGATAGTGCTTACGGACGCCGCCGGCGGCGGTGGCGCACAACTACGGCGAACACGGCCTCTGTTACTATCTCGTAACATATTTCGCTGTAAAACAAGAGAGAAAGAGAGAGGAAACACAGGGATGTTAGCCATTTTGGCGTAACTGGTAGGAATACCCTACACATGGGGAAGGATGGGCGAGATCGAAAGAAGAGTGAGGAAGGTAGAAAAAGAGAAAGAGAGCGGGAGCGCGCACATATAGCGTCACCGAGCAGAGCGACAGTCTTGTGTGGTATAAGGCACCATCAAAGTCAGTTGTTTGTAGGAATTTTAACAATGCCTTGGTTGCCTGACGTCGGTATATTGGCAAGGCGGGCGGCTGCTAATTGACCGTCTTTGCACAGCGTAGCGAGGACTGTCGCAGAAGATATGCTGGAAAGTCTCCTCGTATACCACAGGCGTTTCAGAGAGCGTAGTCGGTCATCCCTATACGAAACGTAAATGACTTCGTGAAGGCCACTCTCTCTTAAGCATGAGTAGCCTACCGTTCGGCACAGACTAATTAGTATGATAAATGTAGCGATATAGTGGAGATAAGTATTGAATCTAGTGACCCTAAGCACGACCTTAAATATTAGTTTCTGTTACCGAAAGAAAACCATCTAAGGGACGTCAGTTTTCAGGCGCACATCAGTGCTCCCAGTGTGCAACGTGGACTTGGAGTATTCACGGCAACGCAGTGATGTAAATAAATGTTCGGTGTACTCACCTTCCAGGGATTCAAACGAAGCCTGCGCGTTTCCCATGGAACAACAGTGATGGCAGTGAAATGTGGACGCGTACCAGCTTTATTTGCAGATATAATCAAACAGGACTATAGTAATAATTATATTGACTCACTAATACCCAGGTGTGGGCCCAGCAAAGGTAGTGCTACGTACTTGCGCTCCCATCTTGCTTGTTTCCCTCTCATGTCTCGTATACGGCTAAGAAGTGGAATAAAATGTGGCCGTTAGTGAGTCCGCGAGTGCGCGGAAGATACAGTGACGAAGTAATGCTATAGCATACGCTAGATAAAAGAGTATCCATGCCTGCACTAGTCTCTCTACTGTTTTTGTCGGCAGACGCAGCGAGGGATGATAGCCGTCACAGCCCTCATTGCTCTATCTATAAAGTCCTTCGCGTGTTCTTAATTACCCTTCAATCCAGTGGTCTTAAGCCACGGGTGTATGGGGACATCTTGCGGACTGGTGAAATAGATCAGGGACCACTTGCAGTGGAGTATGGTAAAAAGGGGGGGACATAAATTAGCACAGCGCGAATTGGTGTCTTTTATTTCCCCTTGGCAAGGAATCCAATGTCAAAATGAAGTCTCACGTTGCCCACGTTCAGGGGCTAGTTGGTCCATTCTTTAAGAAAGGGCGGATTGCGAAAACAAAAAAAAAACACTGCATACTAAAGTAAGAGTTGACAACACCTACGCAAACTTGCAACTATTTTATTCCCGCCTCCGGTTAGCGAGTATGTGGAACAAATAGAGGGCAAAAATCGAGCAAGAGGGATCCCCACACGAACTTATCAAACTGCAAAAAAAACGGCTATTGAAGCCCGTGTTTTAGCACAATTCGTGTAAAAACACTCATTCACTTTTATAAATAGCAATTTAGGGGTTGCTCATGCAATCACTCCCACTTCTGTCGATATGAAACGGCTCAATCAGTACACGAGCTGTCTCGCTTTTTCTTCTGTTAAAGATATTTGTTTCTTCCAGTTCCACCCGCCAATGTGATCTCCAAGGCACTCGGCTGCTGACCCTCAGGTCACGGGATTGAATCCGTATAAAACAGAACGACAGTAATCAAGTCGCTTAATCAGAAGAACTCCAAGTTCGCTGAACAATCATGAATTGAAAACTAGCCTACCTTTCCATCATATTATCCCGGTTATCTACCCTGCTATGGGGAAAGGAAAAATGAGAGAAAGAGAGCAGCTCGTGAAAAACACCAGGGCTCACGCGTTTAAGCTTCGGCTAACCATCCGTTCAGATTGCATGCTAGTTTTTTCTTCCTTGTATGATCATAGTATAAACAATCTGTCAGATTGTAAAAATCGCCAGTGTTTGCGCTTTTTTTCAGCGCGATCTCTTACTGCGGATCGTTCTGCGCCACAACGACGAAGAAGGACGTGGAATCGGGTGGAGTGCTTGAGAACTCCGTTGAATGTAATACTTACGTGAGTAAGTGAACTTTTTTTCCTGTGTTTATTGACTGGTTGATGTGCCTATAACGCATTATTCAGTGATGACACCTAGATAAAAATAGAATGCGTTACCGACGTATATGAGAAGAGGAAACAACTCGTGAGCCATTATATATGCAAAGCTTGTTTACTTGTCTCCTCTCACTTAGTATATAGTTGTGGCGATGCCATACAAATAGGCACGAGTACAAACACTAACGCACTTAGTCTATAAATTATTGCAAATAACTTCCCACTCAAAAGAAAACTTCCCAGAACACAAATGTTCACACAAACAAAATGTCCACGCATAATATTAAGGTACGCCAGGATGTCACAGAAGATCGTGTCCCGTGCAAATCGTCTCGCATCACCACGCTCTATGAAGCAGTTATGCTTGCTTAAAGAAATGCTACACAAGCAAGCAAATGCGATAAACACGTAGCCGCAAATACCGGCTGATAATAAAAATGTTAACAGTACTTTTTTTTTTGGCTTTGTCTTTGCAGTATGTCTGACTCTTCCGAAAATTTGCACTAATGCATATATACAACATTATCTGACATTCTCGAGTATCTAAGGAATCACCCTTCAATATCTTCATTGTCTATATTTTATTTTTCAGAGACAGAGCGTTCCTTACGAAGGAACGTCGTGCTGACCAGGGATGCAATCAAGGACTTAGAAGGGGCCTTGTTGAACAGCGAATTTAAGTTCATCGTGCAGCACCTTGGAACAAGCGCAGTGGTAATCCAACCCTTGTTTTTTTTCCTAACTGGCGTGCAGCAAATTACAGTATCGTGTCGACAAGGTTTCACATGTAGGACAAGTTTCTAAAGGTACAGGAAATACTGGTAGATAATTTCTGCGGGAGAAATCTGACAAGAGTTTTTTGTGGGAGATGCAGGCATGATGGCCTATAGTCGGATCACGGGAATAATTATTATGATAATGATGACATTGTTTATTCCTTAGAAATATCGGCACACCCACCACCTGGCATAAGCTGTCCCGCTCTTCTCCTTCTATCCCGTTTCTATACCATTCTATCTTTTTATCATTCGCCTGAGTCATCTATCTATGTCAAATTATGTATTGATCTTCCCTTATCTTCCTTTATATTATAATATCCCTACCACTCTATATCTGCGTGCCTATAGACAAATATTCTTCTTTTTTTTCTGCTGTATTTATATATGAATATACTATTTATGGTCTCTCTCGCACGCCCTCACTCTGCGCCTGATGAAATACACATCCTTTATACATGAGAAGCAAAGGTCAAAGGTTAAAAGCAAATGAAGAAAGAAAATCAGGATAGGGCAAGCGTAACAATAACTGACGAACGTAACAAAGTTTTTCAACGCACTCGCTTATTGACGCTCAATTTCAAGCTATACATTGTGTTCTTTGAGCATCTTATGTAAGGCATCTCATCTGTTATGGGCGCCTCCGACACGCGTAATCACTGAACTTGTGCGAATATTCGAGCGCTTTGAATATTCGAACGAATCCTACAATATTTGCATTGGCTACAATTCATACTTTATTCACTGGAACTTTTGAAACATTCGCAATGACCAAATGGGTGTGTAATAATCCCGATGTAAACCCTTGTAGAGGTGGTTCTACTGCAGTAGAAAAGTACTATGCAGTGAATACACCTGTTTCCAGGAAATCCCCACTGCCACGACGCCCGACTTCAGGTGTATATGAACAAATTAGCCACCACACTTATTCCTTAGTTTCTGAAGTTCGAAAGCTTGTTATAGCTTCTTATATGCTCTAAGTACAGTACATTCTTAAACATAACGTATTAACAGGTTACCACTGCTACCGAGAGTCAAATTCTGCAGCTATTCAATGTTAATTCCACTTTCCTTTGAAAGCAAAAAGAATGACATTTACGCATGCCTTGCTTAAATTTAAGTATAGTGTGCAGATTAGTTTAGTTATGACAAATATACTACTTTTACGTGATATGTTGTGATATATACTATACTAATTTAATTCGAAATTGTTCGACCAAGTCATTGTTCGCTTCGGATTCGTTTCGAACTTGAAATTCTCTATTCACACAAGCCTAGCTTGGACAAGTATCAAAAGCTTACGGAAAAGGTCTGTTGTTTTGCCGCACTTCACGCCAATGAGAAAGTGGTTTCACTGCAAAGTAATGCTGCTATACCCTCAACCCACTAACCCAGGAGAAATCCGCAGGGCCGCAATGACACTATCGACGGACTAGAGTAACCTCCCATTTTTCTCGACCCTAAAATTCGCTATTCACACACGCCTATTAACCACGCGAAGTTATTCACCTGCGATGACGAAGTCCTTGCAAGGTTCCATCTAATCTCAGGTGTCCACACTCGTCGCCGAAACCATGGAGTACTCCACCGGGGAACTTCGTGAGGTGTTCGGGGAGAAGGATTCCGCACTCAGGCATCTACATCAAAGGGGTGAGTAACTCGCACGAGCGTACATGCTTTATTAAAGGGGCCCTGCAACACTTACCCGAAAAATCACGAAACGATCTCACCATCGGAGCTCGATGCCCCACCAATCGACTGCCGCAAAAGATTGTCGATTCCTTCAAGTACGGAGTTTGAAGTTTATCGCCCCATAGGTACAAAACATTCATTGAACATCAAAAGGCTGGTCCAACCTCCCAATAGAGTCACAGCAGCAACATGGTGAAGAACTTCTACTTATTGCAGTATTAAGATAGCAATACACAGAGCAAACTGATATAAATTAGTACTTCAACTGATATTATGAATGTTAAACATGATAATATTGGCCGAAGTACTGCTTTCTAGAAACTTAACTTATATCTTTGTTGCATAATTTGTCTTTGTTTAGTGCTGAGTGAAGACAGTTGGAAAGTGCTTGAAACCATAGCTCGTGCGTGGTTGTGGAACTGCCCAATATTGGAATGGATTTGTCACACGCTCTGAAAGCGTTCTCTCTTCTCTCGTCCCAGCGAGCGTGCTGAAAGCTACACAGGGGAGAGGGGAATTAAAGGGAGCATTTTCTTCTCTGTTCTTCTTTGAACGCTCACTCGGCTAACGTGTAAACATTGCGCAGTGCTCACTTGACCACACCGCGACGTGTCGCAGCACTGGAATGTCGCGGCGTACTGTGGCGGCCACGGTAACTATGCCGTTCACGATGTTCAAGTCAGCCTATGCCTTGGTTTGTGGCGCAGTTGAGTTTGGGTGTGAAGCATCGAATTTAGAGAGAATAACAAGTGATTTCTAGCAGACTTTGAAGTTTAATCAGAAGTACACCTGTCGCGTGCTGCGCTCACGTGCTCACTGAAGCCTTGACTAGCGATCAGCAGACCACGAGTGTTGAAGATTGGGCGAGTTGGTTCGTCGTACTTGAACTGGTATAGCGCATTACGGGGAAGAAGAAACGGCTGGAAGTTAACGCTCTGTCCCCTTGTGTCGGTCTGCTCGGCCGTTTCTTCTTCCCCGTAATGCGCTATACCAGTTCAAGATCCGCAGACTTTTTTTTTCATAATCTTCAAAAAATGGTGTAAGGCCTATTTAAGGCAAAGAGCCTTGTATGCGTCAGCAATCGTGCGAAGAGACCGTCAGCGCCAAACAATAGGGAAGCAAAAAAAACGTGATGACGTCACCATTTGACGTACTGATGACGCCACAGGTTGCCAATTCTGTTACGCCAGCTTAACCTCACTATGGCGTCATATAACGTGGCGTCACGTGATGACGTAATCCCATGACCTCGCCGCTTGGTCAAAGACGGGCTAATCCCGGAGGCAATGCAAAATCGCGTTAGGGGCAGAAAACGGCCGGAGGAGCGCAGGGCAGGATAAATACATCTCACAAGATAAAGACGAAGAAGATAGCGTTCGCGTTTGAGTCGTTTTAGGCGAATGTGCAAGGAACACGTGAGTTCACTTGTGGAATACTCCTGTTCGCGTTCTTCAAAGAAGAATGAGTGAATGATAATAATAATATCTATAATTACTTGCGACCTAAGAATAAAAATCAAAATACAAATAAAAGTATAAGCGCCACCCCCAAAACTTCTGCCGACATGCCATTCTTGTGTGCGCGAGAGTCATGCTACGTGGAGTCATGCTACGTGGTGAAACATAAGTGATTTCATGCTGCTAACACAAATACTGCGCGCAATAATAATGAAAAGTGTGAAGTACTTATTTGAAACATCGCGTTTGACAAAGAGTGACGTCGAAATTGGTTGATACGTGATGATTAACGTCCCACAACAACCATAGGATTATGAGAGACGTCATAGTCGAGAACTCCGGAAATTTTGACCACCTGCGGTTTTTTAACGTGCACCCTAATCTGAGCACACGGGCCTACAACATTTTCGCCTCCATCGACAATGCAGCCGTCGAGGCCGGGATTCGATCCCACTACCTGCGGGTCAGCAGTCGAGTACCTTAATCTAAATCTGTGTGGAAATTGCGCAGGAAGTCAACGTTTCTTGATCGAAAACCAGCGGCACCAACGTGTGTCTTTATAACGAATCCACCAATCTAAAATGCGCGAACGGTACTTGGCGTCGCATAAATGCCATTGAACAAATGTGATTGGATTTCTCGGGGTATGAGAGCTACGTTTGTAGGTAGAGCTTACGTTTATTCTTATGTTGTAAACGGCTACAGGGTTTTACTTCCCCAAACCTCGATATGATTATGAGAGACGCCGTCGGGGACCATATGGTGTTTGACCATATGGTCCACTACGGCTTCTGTTTGACCACTTGGTCAAACACTATATGGTGTTTGACCATAGGCTGTTTTTCAACGAGCACTCACATAGCATGGTACACAGGCCTCTGCCAGTTGGCTTCCAACAAAATGCGCCCGCCACGGCCAGGATCGAACCCGTAACCTCCGGGTCAACAGCTGAGCACCCTAGCCACTCGTCCATCGAGACGAACAAGAATGAATGAATATTCTTTATTTGCAGGTCTTTACCGACCGGAGGGTTTCGTAGAGTATGGCGTGGGCTCACGTCTTACGACGACCACGACGTACGGCATGTACGTGGGCTCGTTCGAGACGCAGGACTGCGCCGACATATGCCGCGACCGCGAGGACTGCTTCGCCTTCTCGACCTGCCGGGTCAGCAAGCAGTGCATCATTACCACCGAGGCCCGAAAGCCAGCGGCCCAGGACACGGAGGTCCAGTCCGATTGCAGCGTGTTCACCAGTGAGTAGCAGTGTACAACTTTATACGGAAAGCCGTCGGTTTCCCAAGTGTAGATGGCTGTCAGGTCATGCCCGGTGGCTACCACAACGGCACGTCTGATGGCTTCTCGTAGTTTGTTTCGTAGTTTCCGTAACATTATACCAAAACACCTCGTTACACTCTTTCATGTAGAGAGCTTCGAGAGCAGCTTCGAGGAACTGCCCGGCATCTGCTATTCGTTCGCGGCCCGCAAGTACGCCAACGTGAGCCAGCCGGGTGAGTGCGCCGCCATGTGCCTGAACGAGAAAGAGTTCTCCTGCAAGGCATTCGACTTCTGCACGAGGCCACGCAAGGGCAAGCCTCAATGCCGCCTGCAGGACAGGCACATCCTCGAGGTCAGCGACCCGGCAGACCTCGACCGAAGCGACGCCGAGAAGTGCAGTCACTACACACGTGAGTCTGCAGTTAATTGAGGTGAAAGCGAGTGAGCTCTAGATGGATATTTCCTTGTGATGACCTAATGACGTCAACAGTGACGCCACTCACGTGTGGTTTTGTACAAATCCATCCACTTCCTGTGTTTCGCGCAAGGGGCCACTCAATAAAACACACCAGACCAGAGAGAAATGTTTGACGCCATAATTCCATGGTCATGAAGCCACATGATGACGTCATCACATTGCGTCGCTGCTTGGTTAAAGCTGGCATTGTGATCCCGGTGGCGCAGAGAGCTTCCCGAGGGGAGTGGGGCATTAGGGTTGATTTTACAGCGTGCATAACATTTACCTTTGTATTTTAGCACTTTCTTGCCTTTAGCATTTACGTTTATAAAAAGTAGAATGTGTATTTCATGGTCGCACATCCCAATAGCCACTGAGGGCTAATGTTCTCTATGTGTTGTTTTACAATGACATTGCCCTCATGCACTTTCGATCCAACAATTTGAATTGTCTAGAATTAACGTTGAGAGTCCATTTAGCCAAGGCTAAGGAGAGCACAGGTGTGAGTCTATGCTCTCGCAAAAGACTCAGTGTGTTACCGCGTCGTTCTCAGACAATAACATCCTTCGAGAACCCTCCCTTCTCCCCCTTTCCCCATTTTCCCCTTTCTTGACCGCATCTGGCGTTGTATTACCTCAGAGATTGGTCCAGCTCTCAGCAATCAAGGATATAGCATGTGATCACCTCATCAGATTACACCACGACATGGTTTCAGAGATGATGTCGTGATGATGCAATAACATTACGTCACGACATGACGCCTCCCCCTGGTAAAGCAACTTTGGGGACCACTCGTGTTCATGCCGGCGCATTACGATGGCTTTTAGAGTCGTGAAACGCAAGGTGGTAACTATCCTAACCTAACTACGTGTATGTCTCCCTTGGTTTTCGTAGGCAAGCACATCAGTGACTACCGCAAGGAGCGCTTCATTCGCCTACTGGGCACACCACGCACGACAATCAAGAAGGTGTCCGAGGCTGAGTGTGCCCGCCAGTGTTGGGAGGCCACTTTCCGTTGCGAAAGGTTTGACCACTGCTCAGGAAAGCAGGAACTTGGCAAGGGCGACTGCCTGCTCTTCGACGGCGACAAGGGAACTGACGGCACCGTCATGTCGCCCATCTGCAACTCGTACACGTACACGGGAAACTGTGAGTGTGGTCCCACGTGGCCTTTCTGTGCTTTCCTGGTGTCAGAAAGTATTATTTTGTCCGCAAACTCTTGCAGTTTCTCATCAACGGTTTACCGGAAAAGCCTGGTTAACCCTTATTTGGTATACGGGAGCAACACGATTAGCTGCCACAGACGTGCCCACGAGGGGGGGGGGGGGGGGGAGTGGCTACATAAAATTTGAGTTCCAAGTCTACCCATTTGCGTTACTCAGTCAGAGTTGTCTCATCATGGTTTGAGGAGCATCCACGTAGGTTTCTGACGGCAATGGCGGCTTAGAGTCCCTTGTGGTATGTTGCACTCCCAGAATGGTGTGATTGCCACGTTTACTAACCCCTTAAATCTGGGTATCAAACGCAAGTCGGCATGGCAATCACGCCATCACTCTGTTTTTTCGTTGATGCATCCATTGCGAGGCTTCTTTTCTATTGTACCGATGCAGTGGGGAACTCTGCGCATGCCTATACTGGTAGCGACACTTGAATGCCCCATGTGACAATGCATCAGGTTTACGATGTCTCGACACATTACACCTACCTAAAACCGAAAGCAGGAGTTGTCCATTAAAAAATACTTTGAAGCAATTGCTTGGGGTGCTGCGTTGCTATTTAGTCCTTTTTCTTGGGGTTGTGCAAGTTGGTGCAGAGGATGGCTTTCATTAAATGCAGAATAATATATGCTGTAGACCACGACGTCAGCGCAACTTAAATATTTCATCCTGCGAAACTAAGCAGTATGCCATATTAAAATTCTTGAACCCAGGGAGTCACTGCGCAACATTTGGACAAGAAGGCTTCTTTTCTTCAAGGCCACTCGCTTGAAGTCCGTCCACAGGCTTGAAGACCTGTCTAAGCATGCAGTCTTCTTCACGGCTACATGCTTGAAATCTATTCGCCGGCTTCACGGCAGGTCTTCACGCATAGCGTTTTCCTCGAAGACTTGTCGTCTTCATGGATGCACCCTTGAAGTCCGTCCGCAGGCTCGAAGACAGGCCTTCAGCCTGCGTATGGACTTCAAGAAGACTGAAAGTGCAGCTTTAAGGAATACAATTCCTCGAAGAAGATGTCATGCTTGAGGACCTGTCTTCAAGCATGTGGGTGAGATTCAATGGTACAGCCTTGAATAAAAATACACTTGCCAAAATATCGCCTCCAGCGACACCTCATGTTCAAAAATTTTAAATCTCTTCAGGCTTCTGTATTCATCCCAACTTCCTTTTGTGGATCTGCATCATGTCACGGATTTTCGCTTGGTTGAAAAAGCAAGATCTTGCTCACGTGTTTCTCTGCTTTGTGTTTGCAGACGATCGTCCTGTAGCGCAAGCACCCTCAGCGCTACACAGCAATGGTACGTATAAAAGCGTTAACGTATGACGTTGAAATGCGCATTGCGTCTTGATTGTCTTCGTTATCCTTGCAGCAAAGGCAACGGGCCTTTCCTTCTTCATGATATTCCTGGGCGTAGGCATGGCGGTCTCAGCACTTTTCGCCTACGGCTTTTACAAGACCAGGCAGGCCAGCAGAAGATGACGATGACAATTACGAATAATAAAATATTTATAGAAAAGTCAACCATTACAAAGTGACCAAATTGTTTTTTATCAGCTTACAGCGACTACAAGGCACAGCCTTCTGCCATATGTTTCTCCAATTAAACCAATTCCAATCTAGAATATCTTTCCTGGTGGAGGCACCAAATACAAGCGAGTTCCTTCAAGGGACAGAGATTTTTGTACTGTTTCGGGCTCCAGCAGTGCCCCCCCCCCTTCCATGGCCCCCGCTGGCCCCACGTCGGCTTGTCGCGGTCCTATTATCCCCACAAACTTGCTAATCTTATGACCTCATCTAGCTTTACTTCACCCGGTGTGCTTGGATTCCTTTGGAATGCAAGGGAACGTACTCGTAATGTTCACACTTGAGTTATATGACTCACGCTTCTCGAGAGAACAAGATAATTTTTAAAACTTATATTCTTGGCTTTTACGTGCTACAAACGCACTTTGTCAGAAGGCGCGCAACAGTCAGCAACTCGGAATTAATTTTGACCACCTGGGGCTAGAAATGCATTGAAGAAGAATGGCTATTTGGGCTAGCGCTCGTGTTGTCCTCTTTGCTTTCCGTGCTTCACCTTTCGTCTGTTTCTTCTCGCACCTTCGTGCTCGCGCTGCAGCCCTTATCCCCTGAGGCTAACTTAACATGCACTAAATTCAGGCACTGCATTCCCTAAGCCACTTGAAAATTTGCGAAATATGAAACTTTCGAGAAAGCTATACTCTTAGCTTGTCAGAGAACGTAGCCTCCAAATCGACGCTTCAGCCTGGAGTAGTTTCTGCTACCGGCGCAGCTACCCGCATTAGTTTAGATGTGCCGAGCATTGACAGCGGAAATTCGCATTCGCAGCGGAATCCACGTTTCGTAAACTTTTGTGGGCGGTTGTACACTGGCGTTTCCGCAGTCACACTATTGATGAATTGCTGCCGCCGTGCTGGTTAACCGAAGCCGTGCCTTTGCGAATAGCCGCACCACATCGAAGCCGCTCATCTAGAGCACGCCGACTCCAGGAGCGCTCGAGGAACTACGGCAGGAAGTGTAATCTTATCATAGCGACCACTCCGATAGGGAGTATCAGAATAAAACGTGGGAGGAAGCGGAGAAGGGAGTGGAGGCACCTGCTTATTGGAATGTAAAGAAGGCAATATACCCGATATATTACTTATCTGCCTTTGAGATAAACGATTAGCCGTAAGCAATAAAGTGTTCATTCGGAGTGTGGGACTGGTATTAGGGAGATAGAAAATAATATTATTTAGTACCTTTCTGCCCAACCGCATCGTATAAGCAGCGCTGGCAGTGGGGTTAAAAAAGGCACTTGCCGTCCACCCAACTTAATCCACATTGGCAGTTCCCCTGAGCTGCTTGGTCACACCCTTCCTCATTACGATGCAGCGTTGATTTGCCCCTTCCCCCCTTCCAAGGACACATACCGTACATGTACAGTGTCAATTTTTATGAAAGGGAACACGGGAGCGCGTAGCCTGCGCGCCCCGGCGGCTGCTGGCAGCGCGTTCAAGCGGAAGTGAGAGCAACCACAGTCTCTTTTAGCGTCATCTAGCGACGAGCAAAACAACTACTCGTTGCTGATATGAAACCAGCGCCAAGATAGCGACCCCCTCCCCTTTCAAGGTGATTACGCGAGAGCCGGTAATCGCCTTGAAAAGGGGGGGGGGGGCTGAAATCTTGCATGCAGTTCTATATCAGCAACAAACGGTTGTTTTGCTCGCCGCGAGATGATGCTAAAAGAGACTGTGGTTGCTCTCGCTCCCGCTTGAACGCGCTGCCAGCAGCCGCCGGGGCGCGCAGGCTACGCGCTCCCGTGTTCCCTTTCATAAAAATTGACGCTGTACATATGTCGTTGTTCTTCTCGTGTCGATGCTTTTGTTTAGTTTCGCACTGCATTTGCCATGAAAATCAACCAACTAGCCCAGTTTTGCACGCTTTTGATGTTAACTGCTTGGTTTAAAAAAGGTTTGGGCACCGCACACTTCAGTTACTAAACGCTCACTTGTGGTTCTTCGATTCCTACCTACTCGTCTGGTTATCTTGCTTCTATTCTGTTTTGCGATCCCAGAGGCAGTCGCCGATATTGACCTATGGGTTGCGGCGTCCAATCACGGCCGTATAGGAGCCGCATTTCGACGGCGGCAACGTTCTACACGCCCGTGTGCTTAAATTTGGGTGCACGTTAAATATCCCTAGATGGTCGAAATTTCTGGAGCCCTCAACTATAAGGTGACTCGTAATCATAGCGTGCTTTCAGGGCGTTAGGCACAAGACAATAATAATTTGACCCCAGTGATTATTATTATCATCAGAGCACGAGAGGCGGGTTAATCGGAAAGGATACTTACTGTTTGTTACCTCAAACCAGGGATAAAGATTAAAAAAAAAGGCCGAAGAAAAGACGAAGGTTGAAATAAAAAGAATGCTCGCGCTATTCACTACACAAAGACCGGAAAGGTTTTCGAATTAGTTTCGAATTAGTTTCGAATTAGTGAAGCAGCCGCGAGCTTCAATTCAGTCCTCTCTCTTGGACGGCATGTCCTTCATAGTTTTGCTTGCTCGACGCTTCATTGTCTAATCAGCAGAGCGCATTGTTACACGAGCGAAATCACGATTTTGCCTTGAGTTGCGTGTAATCTACTATCATCGGACAGCCTGCCCGCTTATCGTCGGCAGAAACAATCGAATTGAACTTTCTCAGCCGCACTTTCAAAGCGTGGGGGCGTTTGGGCGTATCGGTTCGCTTTTCAAGGAGGTGGACAAGCCGGACACTCTCACTTGCTGTAGGTAAAACCAACGAACACGGTGAGTGTATAATTATTATACGTCCTTAACGTACCAAAATTCAACAATGCAATGACCGTTCAGCGTATAATACAGTGTGTGCGAATAGTGAATCTTAGAACTGAAGAGAATTCTAATCCGAATAGTGTTCGAGAAGTTTTTGAATTGCGAGGCTACCATTTTGAATGCAGCCCCAAAATGGTAGTGTAGCCATTTTCGAAACAGCCCATGAATTCCACATTTTATTTCGAATAAATACTACCAAGCTTTGATAAAAGGACGGACAATCGTTTTTGACCAGCAAAAAAGGGGCTTGATAACAAAAACTGAGGCAAGCTCCCGGCAACTGGAGCTTTTAATATTATTTGTGTATCTGGAGGCTTAACTACGGCAGTGACAACAGTATTCAAAGTAGCACTTTGTCGACAGATTTTGAATAAAAAAGTTGTATAAACATTATTTAAACCATAATCATGATTACACATCACCATGAATACCCTCGACGTAGATATTGTCACTTCGGTGACACTGTAGTTTAAACAAAAACTTCTTCATCCTGTAATCATTATAGGCGTAGATAGTACCGTAATACTTTGTACTGCATGTATCTTGGCCATTCAATTATCAAAATAAGAAATGGTATAGCCGTTTCACTTTCTTGAAGTTTTTCATCGGTGTTTATTATTAAAAACTACATTCAACATTTCCGATATGCGCTATTCGATTCGAATACCGAGTCGAATAGAAGAATGCACAATTAGTTATTCGAAATTTTCGAATATTTGCGCACCCCTACGAATTAGTCATAGCGTACAAAATACTTTTTACGTGAACAGTCTTTCTCCCGATCAGAGAGCACAAAGGGTTAGAAAGAAAAATGAAATACATAAAAGCACGAGTCCTGCACAAAATAAAATTCATTGAGTGAAAGGCTTCGGAGAAATTGCTAAGAAAATTTTGACCGCCACGTGGTCGCCGATTTCAAAGGCCTTATACGAGTGGAGCTCCATTGAATTAAACGTGAAGTTATCGCACAGAGTAAATGGTTAGTCTAATTCAAAGGGGGTGATTAAATTTCCTCAGAAGTGCCGCTCACAGACGCTTCAACAATGATCCCGTCTACTGATCGCAGAGACCGTCTCTGTCCGTACTGGCATGGTTGTGAAACGATTGAACGTATTTTTATTCTGGGTGCGGGAGGGGGGGGGGGCGCAATTTCGCGAACTGCAGGTCAGGATTGCTCGTAAGTTTAATGAAATTTATTTATTTTTATTTTTATTTAATAATACTCTCAACCCTCGCTTGAGGGTCATAACAGGGAGGGAGTACAATATGAGTACAAACAGAACACCTAAAAAAAACACTAAGCAATAAACACAGGAAAACAGGATGGGCAGTACTTCAATCATTACCAAAATAAGCATCAATTTCTCTGTCAAAAGTTTGCACATCGGTACTATTAATAACATGTTAGGGTAAAGAATTCCATTGTTCTATAGCATCTGGGAAAAATGACCACCGAAAGATGTCAGTGCGAGTGCTAAAAGGTTTAATGGGGGCATCATGATTCAATCTAGTGCTACGTTTTCCGGGAAGGCGTATGTACTCGTCTTTAGGTATTTTGAATATCTCTTGGATTATACGAAATAATGTTTCAAGTTTTTGTTTCCGTCTTCGAATTTCCAGTGATTCTAAATTGCATGAATTTAGCATATTAGTTACTGAATCCCGCCTTCTATATCTGGAAATGGAACAAGGTCAAACAAAACATATTAAACTACCAATACGTGACCGAAACGATACCTTTGTTTTCACCGATGATATCGATGACTTCTTTCTTAAATGTCGAGGAGCGGCTCTTAGCGCAAGTGTGTGATGCTAGTCTACCCTGAGCCTGAAATTTTTTTCGTTTAGTCGTTGCCTTGTGATGTTAACTCGCAATAGGCGTGCGCGTTTCATTTGGTTCCACGACATATTGTACACCCTCCACAACCGGCCTTTAAACGAACCACGATCTACTACCCTCTGTTTACAGACAATGGAGACCAGGCTTGTCATCGCCGCAGCATTGTTGCTCGCGGCACTCATCCTGCCAACCTGCAAAGCCGACTGCGACGCGAAACCGAAGAAGCCCGTCAAACGTGTGTATTATGAAGAAGACGTTTTGAATGCTAGTTCGTTACATGCTGACATTTTAAATGCACTGCACAGGCGAATCACCCTAAGGCGCGAAAACGATGAAGTTCATCGACGATAATGAATGATTGTCTGATCTGAAAGAGTGGCAAACAACTATTGCAATCCTTTCATTCTGCCTAGGGTGTCTTTTTTTTCTTTCTTTTTTTCTCCGGTGGGTGGTTTCGATATTGAATATAAAAAATAAAAAAATAGCAGCACATCCACGGAGTGAATGATGTAGAGTGGGGCAAAGCATCCGTCTGTCCATTCGTTCTTGCTTCCGTCCATTCCTGCGTCCGTCTGTGTCACCGTCCGTGCGTCCATCCGCCCGTCCGCGCGTGCGTCTGTTCGTGCGTCCGCACGCCCGTCTGTGCGTCCGTCCCAGCGTTCGTCCATGCATCCGCCCCTGCGTCCGTCCATGCGTCCATCCGTCGGTGCAGCCATCCGTGAGTCCGTCCATGAATCTGTCTGTGTGTCCGTTCGTCCATCTATTCAACACTCCAAGTACCACCATCTCGCATCTTTTCATTATATATTCCGCATATGCACCGCCATCCAGCGGACAATACAAGGACTAAACGAGAGGTGGCACACGCACACTTTCTTACGGCTTGCGCTTCGTGTCTGCTTCCCACCTTTAACCACCTCGAGTTCATGCTATATACTAGTTCACTGTATTCATGACACTGCGGCCCAACGCTCGCTAAACCTTTTTAAAACCAAGGAGGTTATGCCCAGCGAGTATAACGTAGCAACCCTTTCTTGTCAGATAGTGCTCAATGTAAATGCCAACGGCTGCTAAGGGGGAATCAGAGACAGAAGAATTCGGCTTTTAGTTAACGCACACGCTGCGAATTTTTCGTTGTTCAACAACGCACAGAAGAAATCTCTCACCGGCACCACCTTGGAGGTCAAAATGTAAGAGTGGTTACACACTACGAATACTACTACGACTATGAGAGACGAACGGGTGCCGCTATAAGCAGCTTCGCCACTTAAAAAAATCTTACTGAATTAATTCATCGATTCTTGGCCGATCCCCCTGAGTGGGTACGAACCATGGCTGTGGAATCATCATCATCATCATCATTACGACACTGCCTAACGCACAATCTGCGTGCAATTTTGTATTAGAGCAATGCCAACTGTGGTCGACGTTTTGGCTATCGGCAACTGTAGCAATGTAACATTGCCACACAAACATATTGCCACACAAACTTCTAGCGCTCATGGGCTACGCACACCATTCTGTGCATTGCAGCCGTCGCGAACCAAGCTAAATGCTGAAAGCCCCGTTAAGGCAAGCGAATCCAGCCACAGTGCACATGCCAGCCCTGTATGCGCGTGAATCATAGGCGTGAACTCCGACCGAGAGGCCAGCGCGCGTAACGGAGGTAGAAAGCCAGGGCTCGTGGTATCGACAGACTCTGCGTTCGCTCACTCTATAGGTTACGCCCAGAGGCGTAGCTAGGAGGTAGCACTGTGTCCTCCACCCCACGTCAAAATTTTTAAGCCTCCGTTCGAAGAAAAAAAAAAGGCGCTAAAGGTCGTGACCCGTGCTGACTGACGGTCGTAGTATCCTTGAACCCTGTTCATACCTCCTATCCCCTGCATAGCTTTTGGCACATTCGCTGGTACAAAAAGTGAGATAATTGATGCGCTTAACAAGTTACAGTGCAGGGAAGATTCCCTGCACTGTAACATGTCGCGTTGTGTATTCTGAAATAGAATCGTAAGGGTCAAGTAGGCCAACATAATCATGTATATTAGAGCAAATGTCTTCACTGTAACGTAGTGATGTTAGTCGTGAAATATAGATGTGCCGAAGTGTATGTGCCCTGTTACAGGAATGGTATGAAGCCTTTGTGTTCTGTACATGCTGTAAATAAAGTTTTTCTAAACAAGGGTGAAGATATCCATGTTCATGTAAATGATGTCTGTCTTGTCATCATCGTTAGAGTAAGTCTAAGACGGAAATGTTCTGTTGAGTGTTATTGACGTTTGTGGCAATAAATTCTTTCTAAACGGGTCAAGACCCGTTGCTGCGGGCGGGCCAGGGACGGCTTTCAGCCCTCCCACAGTAGAGTACCGAGTACTCAAATCGTTAAACTCTTCTTCTAAACACACAGTGTCCTAACGCATCGTGAACTTAATGTTGGCGTCGCTAATTCCGACTGCAGGTTTGCGTCCGTTCGAAACGCTCGTCTAGTGCCGCACAGCGGGGGAGAGCCTGATATCGCGTCTACTGAAGCTTTGGTGTCGTTGAAAGCACATTTTTCATATCGGAGCCCTGTTAAGCCTGTTAAGCCTCTTAATGTTAAGCCTGTCAAGCACGTGTCCCCTCAGGGAAAATAAAGCTCATTCCTGACCAGATCTACTTTGAGAGCAGCGCAGCCCCACAGAACAGCGAGAGGTGTGAGCAACAACAGCGCTCTTCGTGTTCCTTAACCACAATTTTTTTGTGACGTGGGCGATACTCGCTTTACTCGTGGATTCTGCGCCACAAAGAACTTGGATCTCCGTCGTACCACTTGCGACGAGCACCCATACGACGAGCACCCATCCTAAAGCTAACGTCCACCACTAATGATTGGTCATGTGTGCCCCTCCATGCGCAAGACACTCAAACTGCACAAAGGTTTCGACGTTTAGGTACCGATGTCAGAGTCTTAAAGTACCAAGGTTATGGAAATTTTCTTGGCTCAACGTGGCCGAAATACGAAAAAAAAATAACACTATGAAATCTCTGAAGTCCCGCCGACGTTCAGTGCGCAGAGATTCTGGCACAAAAAAAAAATCTAAATTTCCTTTCCTTTAATGTTAATAAACCTATGACTGTCAAATTAACGATAGTCGAGATTTCGAAAAAATTAACTTATTTGCTTATATTTTTTTCCATGTCTCTCTCTCGTGTCACTTCATCGTGTGCACTGGGATTCAACAGTGTTAGCGCTTCCTTTTGTCTTAAAGTTCTGTCATGAAGTCTTCTTGCTCGTGTAGTACTTCGACTGTCACGATTTAAATTCACATGTACCTAATTACTCTACGCCTCTCACAAGGACTGCTTCCAGACCCATCTGGGACGTTACTGAAAACTAAGTACAACTAGCCCGATATATTTAGACTCATTTCGCTTCTGCACCCATTAACTGCCAAATCGTCGTCATCTAAGTATTTGCAGTTAAATCCTCTTGGAAAATAACGATTGAAACATTGCGCTTCATTATGTCCCATACTGCCCGAACACAACAAATTATTCATTTGTCGTTCGAGAACCACGTGTGCTTAGAAAAAGTAACTAATCAGATCACTTGGTAATCTACTATGGCAGGGCATAAAACCATCCTGGTCCTTGATTAGCCCCGCCGCGGTGGTCTAGTGGCTACGGTGCTAGGCTGCTGACCCGCAGGTCGCGGGATCAAATCCCGGATGCAGCGGCTGCGTTTCCGATGGAGGCGGAAATGTTGTAGGCCAGTCTGCTCATATTTGGGCGCACGTTGAAGAACCCCAAGTGGTCAAAATCTCCGGAGCTCTCCCCTACGGCGTCTCTCATAAGCATATGGCTGGTTTAGGGACGTCAAACCTCCCATATCGATCAATTAGTCCTTGATTATGAATCAACTGTTTAGAAAAAAGCTTATTTACACTATATGCAAGAAGCAAAATTGCGTTACATGCTGTGTGTAGAAAAAGTTAACGATTTAGAGTACGATGTACTCTACTATGGAAGAGCATAGAGCCGTCCCGTGTGGAACTAAAAAACTGCAAAAGGTTTAAGAGAATTTTATTTCCGGATATATTTTACATAGCTTAAGTGCACACAGAAAAATGGACAGTGATGATTAATGCGTACGTACAATGCAAGTTGTTATATGCAGCGAAAATAACTTATTTGCCCATACAGTGATGTACTATGCAAAAATTGTACAACAAAGACAGGACATTCATGAAAATCGAGATGATTAAACTTAAATAAACAGTAAGGCTATGTGAACAAACAAGGTGGGTCATTCACAGTGTAGGGTGATGTTTTTGCATTCACCTGTGAGGACAGTTTGCTCTCTTGCTCAAGAACAATATTGCACAAAAAAGACATGTTTCGAGTGAAGAAAAGGAAAATACACATTGCAATTTCACAGTGGTAGAAACTTTAGCCCACCTCCTCAGTAGGGGAGGAAAGGCATGGACACTGTTGTTTTTCACAATAATGAATCGCGTAGACCAGCACCGAAGGAAAGCCTTCTCTCCCGGCATAACTAATTTTTCGTTGAGATGCATAAGCATTACGTTTCTTAAGCGATGTAGCAGAGGAAACATAGCTCTTTGAGCGTGCCCCCTCAAGCGGGCCAGTCCCCTCCGCTTCCTTAGGACGAAGGCTCCGATAGCCATTAAATGTTCGACAAAGTTGTCTCTGTGGCGAGACTTCCACTGCATACTTATTTGGGACATACTGTTTGTTTAGAAAAATTGGTTAACAATTTAGAGCACCTGGTACTCTACTGCGGGAGAGCTTAAAGCCGTCCCATGAAATTTAGCTGATTTACCTCGATGACATACTATTTAGCGAGTAATGACGGTACCTCGGATATTTATTGCGAGCGAACCTAGGTTCAGTGTTCAACCTACTCCCTTGTAATCGGTGCATGCTACTCGTTCTAGTGTAAATGTTTATAGTTGCTCGTCGACATGAAAAATTTGCAGGGCCTCCACTGCGTTCTGTAATGGTCGTTCCATGACATCACAGCATGCAACGCAACTTTAGCTTGAAACTAGGTGCGGTGAACTAAATCTAAAATTATTGCAGTTTCACAGCCAAAGCATTGTCCACAGCAGCAATGCGATCTTTGATATGATCAGTGGGCGTACAGCACGAGTCTTGCACGACGCTACCCCGTGGCCACATCAATAACATCAACCTTGCATACGTAACCTCGTATAGGTATCTCGGAATGCACGTAACGAATAACCTTTCTTGACATACACACATTCAATACGTCACTAACAATGCCAATAAATCACTCGGGTACATACGCAGGAATTTTTCTAATGCCCCATGCCATTTAAAGTTGCTTCTTAACAAAACACATGTGCATAATTGTATTGATAATATCGTGAACTTGCTGTGTTAGTTATCACCTCCAATTACATATAATTAACCGAGAGACCCACTGCTATTTCACTTTGGGACCCTCGTTCTTTTGTATGTAATTCTGTAACTATGTTTCTGAAACTAATGAGCCTAAATCTGAAGTGTGATTGCTGCAATGTAAGCCATGACATTTTCAAAAGTGAAGAAAACTGGACATTTGTCCGACATGTTGATGATGTTCAGGCCGCCAATAATTTACTTATTTATTTATTTATTTGTGTTATAATAACGGAATCATATCGCGGTAGATGTATCACCGTGACAAAACGACATGACGAGTATTTTCAAATTCATTTCGTGTAAGTGTTTTAATCACAAGTTAAATTGAACACTTTTCACTTCGTTACTTAACACTTTTTGTGCTTACATGTATTCTTCTGTACAGCGGGCAACGAGAGATTTTTTATTAAGGACCTGTGTGTGTGTAGTTCAGTGTCTGCTTTTGCCTTTTCAAATTTTTTAGCGAAGATGATTCCAAACCTTCTCAAGAATTACAAACAAGGATGGAAACTGACAGCGGAAATCAGCGACTCCAGCGAGGTGAGAAAAACAAAAACGGCCATATCTACAATGTGAATTACGTTGGAGGAGCTCGCTCGGAGGCACACGGGACGTTCCTTGAGACCATATCTGTAGGAAGGCTTGTTAACGATTCGGCACCTGATCTTTACAGTACGTCGAAGGTAGTGTTGGCATATGTGTACAGTACAGCGCATGATGTGTACAGCTCGTCGAAGACAGGATATAAAAGTTGAAATCACGAAAAAGAAATGACATGGGCCGGGCATGTAGCACGTAGGCAGGATAACCACTGGTCATTAAAGGTGACCATTGAAGACAGAAAGTTAGGTGGGACGATGAGATTAAAATGTTCGCAGGTATAACGTGGCATCAGAAAGCACAATACTGGTTTGATCGGCAGATCACGGGAGAGACATTTGCCCCGCGTTGGGTGTAGTCAGGCTGACGATGATGATGATGATGATTATGATGATGATGATGATGATGATGATGATGATGATGATGATGATGATGATTCGGCATTTCTAACGTGCACCGTTCGAAACCAGTGCAGATCGAATGGAACGCTATTCCACTCATTATTCGAAATTTCTAAACATTAGCACATTACTAGTATGAAAGCGAAAGCCTTAGATGACTCAGCAATCTTGAAATAGGACCATCGGCATTGGTTTCATTGGTTCACACCAGAGTGGTGCAAAAATCGTGTAATGACGTAACCTCATGACAGCATCATGACGACACAGGTTGACAAACTTTGAAACGCCATCATGACGTGACTATGACGTCACCAAATGACATCGTTTCTTGGTCAAAAGTTGGCCGATCCCGGAGGCAATGCAAAACTGCGTTGGGTGAAGGAAGATTTCGTGTGTGGGGCAGATCAATGCCATCGACAAAGGAGAAAGAAGATATGTCTTTCGCTTTCGAGTCGCTTTAGACGAATGAACTTTTTCAAGAACACCACTTGCTTTCGGACATTATTAATAAGACCAATGTTTTACTAGATATTCGATATTAACCAGATGTCGTTATAAATCAGTGTTATAAAATCAACTCTTTCTTTACGTGGCTTCTCCCAATTACGTCGAAACATTACATAGCTATATAAGTACATGCTGTGAGTAAATGTTGAAAATAAAAACCTACAAAACAAGATGTTTCGATTCTAATAGCTCTTCTAATAGTTCCTACGCAACCCTACTTAATATGCGAAAATCGGTATAGATTTACTGCCCATCACACAGACCCGACTGCATGGAATACACGTACATGTTCAGTTGTTGGTCATTTGCTCTATTGTAATTAGTATTGTTACTTTTTTTGAAATTCGGGCTTTATTTGGTTTGTTGCATGTTATTTGAGTTTGTACTGCTAACTGTTGCCAGTGTTTTCGTGTTCAAAGGTGGGAGTGGACCCTTTTCAAGCTGCCTCTTTCGGGGAGCAGCTATTGCCTACAGCTATTCTTCATCAAAAGAATTGACAAAAAAGAAGTATTATTATTATTATTATTATTATTATTATTATTATTATTATTATTATTATTATTATTATTATTATTATTATTATTATTATTATTATTCTATTGTAATCTGATAACCAAGTTCTCTACGAACTTACAATCTTACGTCCAGCCCTCACTGCTTTCCTTTCAATCTCTCCTCAGAAAACTACGACCTATCTGACCGAGTACTACGACATGAGCTCGAAACAGGGCTTTCTCAGCTTCAAGCAAGACGGCGGTGACGACATCAACCTCTTCTACATGTCGCGCACCAGAGAGCTGTTCATATACCGAAGTAAGCGACGATCGACGTCGAAACTATAGCAGTTTTCCTCTAATCACACTGTGCAAGAGGGACTGGCACTACTACGGCATCACGCCTGGTATCTATTACACAAGTTATCTAAGAAGAGCCTTTCGTGCAACTTACAGCATTTTGCAGTGGTGCATGTTGTAGTTCTCAATAACAGTCCCGGCTACGACTTTAAACAGTTACTGCATATACTCCCTATGAGAGCATATACAGTAACTGTAGTGTTACTTGCTGTGATGCTGTGATGATGTGTTACTTTTCTGATGACAAGCATATAATTATACATATACTTACGAGAATTCGAAGAAAATAGATATATATATAACTAGAGCAAATAATTGGATCATGCAATTAGGGAGAGTATACAGCAATGGTATACTATATATGCTCCCTACGAGAGCTTTTGCAGAAACTCCGTACTACTCCAAAGGAAGGCACACCGACCGCTGCGCCAGCGAGAGCAAAAAAAAAATGGATGTGCAATTAGTTGGGCTGTGCCTGGTGGGACCTTCCTAAGACAACGGCGCAGTCACCGAAGCTCTAAAGCCCCGTTACGAAGCTTCACGAAGCTCAGCGTGTTCGAAGAGCGATAGTTGGGAGGGGGGGGGGGGGCAAGTCAGAAAGACGTGTTATGTAAACTTGCGCTGTGCTTATAAGACGAGAGACCGAGGAAGAAGACGGAGGAAACGTAGCTAAAACCGATTTATTGAAGTCCCGTGAACTTCCCTTCTGGAATAATGCGCGTGCGCAATAACGCACGTCATGGCCGCGTCACGAAAGTACACTCCCCACCCACCAAGTCTCGTATATATACACAAGAAATTCGAGCTCTTTCCCGGAAAGGTACTCAGATGCATCGATGACGCACTTATTTGGGCCATGTATACCCCCATCCATGAGGCTTCCCGAATTTCGCGCACCCTTCGGCCCTTCGCTCGCCCCAACACCTCCCTCCCTGCTGAAAATGGGCTTGCACTTCCGTGCACACGTGCTACAATGAACGGGTCGTATCTCTCTCCGCTGCTGCTCACTCTGCTCCTCGCATCGTTGGATATGCAGCGCGTTTTAGCTAAAGTCAGCGTCAAAGTTTGAGGACCACGATAAACTAGAGAAAGCCGAATATTACCGCTGCGTTGGCAGCCAGCATCAACAGCAACACGCTAACAGCAGAAGCATCAGCAACCTGCTAGTAACGCATGGTGTGCCGTTCGACCGACTACCAGTTGCGAATTGCTGACGAATTTCAAGTTTTCTATGGCCTAGCGGCCTCTAATCTTTTGATATTGGTTTTACCTCACTCTGCGACAATCAAGGCTCGTCGCATTTACACATCGCGGGAAATGCTTACGCGCACCTCATAGTTCTTGCCTGATTATTAAGTGAAAAGGCTTGTATGTCTGATCAGTCGGAAAATCCGACGTTCAGCTGTGTCGTGAACACAATTAGTGCCGAAATCTTCGCGACATTAAATACAATGTAATGATGGCAAATCATTAGGAGTACAAATTTAGGTGAATTCAGGGGGAACTTAATGTGAATCTATGTATGTCAAAGAGAAAAGAGTGGGAATCAAATTTATCAAGGGTGAACCACTTAACAATCAAGTGGCATTACCTTAAATCACTAAATAATCAAGAAACCTAGCGTCAATCAAGAGCGAGTCAAGTGACGTAAGTGTGAATTATGGCATAATCAATTGAATTGGGTGTTAATCAACCTACAAATTAAGTTAATCACATACTCAATCATATCTAAGTGTTTTGTAGGTGCTTCACAGGTCAAAGCGTAGGCTTTCACCTGTGATCCCCTTAGCATCATCTAAAGCAACCCGGTGACTATCCTTCGTTCATGCTGACGTCGCAAACGACGCACAGAACGTCTTTCTGCAGATGCTTGTGAATCGCTTGATTTGCTGAAAATTGAATGTGATTATCTTCTGCGATGGTATAGCCGCGTTCTAATGAAGGCTCAAGTAAACAAATAGCACGGCCAAACTTTCTTCCTCGGCAGACCACGAGTGCCAAGTCACGGATGTTCAGAATCCACCGGAACCTGTCAAATCGCTCATATACGAGTGGCGAACCTGGCGCGAGAACCTCACAATCCTGGGACCGTCCGCACTTTTTGCCAGGGCCTGGACGAGCCAGGGAAAAGAACTGGTAAGTTATGCCATCCACTCCTCACCAGCTGAGGCAATTTTTTTTTCACTTGCTTTCTGGTTAACCTCTCTGCCTTCATACGTACCATATCTCTCTCTCTCTCTCTCTTTCTCTTCATTTTGGGGTTTGATTATTACTCACACCGGGCACGTGAACTGTTCTTCTTCCACGTCCTCCTCGTACCTACCCGGACTTTCTTTGGTTTTCCTCGTACGAAGTACGACTCAGGTTACAGTGTGACTGAGTTACAGAGCGGCTTAGTTACAGCCTGGCTCAGTTAGAGTGCGACTGAGTCACAGTCTTAAGGGCTAGATCAGTTAACCGCAACGTCATAGGCTGCTTACGATAATATGATCTCCTCCCAGTACTACCAAGGTCCCTCCGAACCCATCCGTGGAATCAAAAGCCTGCAGTGGGCGGCTTGCTACGCCGACGACACTGAGCCGACCCGGATCTGGTTTGCCGGTAATCATTTGCTTCTCACATATCTCTTCCTTCAACATGCTTGACTATTTTCTGATATGTGGGGTTTTAACGTCCCAAAACCACCATATGATTAAGAGAGACGCCATAGTGGAGGACTCCGGAAATTTCGACCACCTGGGGTTCTTTAACGTGCACCCAAATCTAAGCACACGGGCCTGCAACATTTCTGCCTCCACCAGAAATGCAGCCGCCGCAGCCGGGATTCGAACCCGCGACCTGCGGGTCAGCAGCCGAGTACCTTAGCCACTAGACCACCACGGCGGGGCACTTGACTATTTTCTCATATTTAGGTCGGTGACATACAGAGAGAACATTAATGCGTAATCATAAAAGAGGGAAAGTGAAAAAATAAACGTGCATGGAATAAGGATGATAAATTATTTCATTGAGGAAAGGGAGGACCAAAAGTCACTGATGGGGAGTCTGGAGGAGGGGTAGGGATGATAGGCACACACTAAATCACGCGCGCCAAGCCGCTGCTAATACCGATGTGACAAGTTGATGAGGGTTCTCAAGAATGCCCTTTTGTACCGCTTCCAAATCGGGAGGTAGAAAAAAATTGCGTTGTTCCTGCGATACTCATGAAGGACATGAGAGGGAAGAATGACGTGATGCACGTTAGGCATGCATGAAAAGTGGCAAAAGATACACTATGCAGGGGATCGAGGTGTCCAGTCACCTCTCCCGTTCCGCAAGAGTCCGCTTTTATGAATTATGTGAGGGTGGCTGCATTTGCAGGTACTTTGTTAATTAAAAATATTGAGCCTAACTTGCTTTGGGACGATAACTCCCATGGCCCAAGTTATTTTAGAAAAATAACTTAGATAACCTCAGTTGCTTTGAGACGATAACTTCCCTGGCTTCAGTTTTTTTTTTTTTTTTGGGGGGGGGGGGGGCGATCCACTCCCATAACACAAATTGTTTCGGGGCGATAACATTTTCAGCCCAAGTTGCTTCGGTACGATAATTCTCATAGGCTATAGGTTGCTTTGGGACAATAACTTCCATAGCTCAAACTGCTTCGGGATGATAACTCACATGGCCTAAGTTGATTTGGGATGATGACTCCCATAAACTCAACATAAGCATAACGTGTCTCAAAGTAAAAAAAAAACAGAAGTAGAAAGTTGTTGCTGTCTTCTTTTTCTCCTATAACTTTTGTTTTACATATTTTTTTTAAATACCACGCTCAGCAAACGACTGGGTAAAACTTGTCTGAAGTCTGCTGTGTGTAGCCTACCGTAATTAGTCGCATAATACCAGTACTTTTTGGTAACATTGGTTAACTAACAGTAGAGAGCGTAGGTTACAAATGACGTAGACGGTAATTATAACTCATTAAAAGCTAATAAAGCACGATCGCATTCACAAACTAATTCTAATCTGAAGTGAAGTGTGGAAGGGAACTGGGTTGTGTATAGAGCTGTATTTATCGAGTTGTGACCAAAACTTCTCAACGACAGGGTGCCCAAGACCTGAAGTGGAAACCGAAAATTTGTACCCGGAAGTCACGTGAAAGACCGAAAGGGGTGTTATCGAGCTCAGGTATAAACCTAATGTTACGCTAAGGAAGAAAGGACGTTGATGTAAGAATTTTCAGGGTTTCACGTACGTCCAAAAACCCGGATGCCAATGTAAGAGTCCCCGCAGTGAAGGGCTCCACTCTCGATTTTTATCCACCTCAGAAGTTCCTTAACGTGCACCGGATGCGCGAAGTACATGGGCCTCTTGCATATCTCCTCAATCACAATGCGGCTTCCGCGGCTGGGATTCAATCCAGCAGCCTTCGAGTCAGCAGCAGAGCACCAAAACCACTAGACCACCGCGGAAGGTAAGGGAGGACGCAACAAAAGGGAGAAGGCAGGGAGGTTAACCAGGAAGACATCCGGTTGGCTACCCTACACTGGGGGATTAGGAAAGGGGACAAGAAAGAGGGAAGAGAGGGAAAAGAAAAAAAAAGGGTGGGGGAGAGACTGACAGTAATTTCACTGCAGCGTGTAGAACTCTACCGCATGTCAGAGGCGTTCACACAAGCCTGTCTTTCTCAGGAAACACAGCAGGGCTTTCACTGCCTTGTGGGCTGTCGAGGTATGTGTACGTTGCTGTAATAGCACCTGCACAGAAAGAGGCCGATCATCCAGTCGCCGCATTGCGTTGGCAAGTACTTGTCTTTCTGAGGCAAATCGAGGACAATGACACAGCAGGTGTTCGATATTTTCGTCGGTGCCGCAAACATCGCACGCCGCACTGTCAGTAATTCCGATTAACGTGGTATAAGCTTTCGTGAAAGCGACTCCCAGCCAAAGGCGATAGAGAAGCGAAGCTGCACGTCGATGTAGGCCAGGTGGAGGCCGGAGTTGTAATGAAGGGTCGAGCTCGTGCAGTCTTGTACGTCGTATGCTTGGTGTGTTCCACTCAGTCAGGGTGAGACTGCGGGCCAGTTGACGAATCTGCCTCGCCGCATCCGCTCTCGAAAGCGGAATCGGAACGCTGTTCGCTTCTTCATGTGATGTGCGAGCAGCATGATCTGCGGAATCATTGCCGCCTATACCACAATGCTTAAGTAACCACTGAAAGACGATGTGATGGCCTTTTTGTATTAAAAGGTGGTGAAGTTTCACGGTTTGGTAGGTCAACTGGTCGTGGCATCCGCGTCGGAGAACTGATATCAGGCACTGTAACGCTGGTTTTGAGTCAGAAAACACAGCCCATTTACCTGGTCTTTCTTCTGAATTGATGAGTTCCAGTGCATTGCGCAGAGCCTCGAGTTCTGTCGTCGTTAACGTTGTCACATGTGAAATCTTAAAACAACGAGTTACCCCTTGTGATGGTATAACCACTGCTCCACCTGAACTATACGGCGTAGTAGAGCCATCCGTGTAAATGTGCACATGGTTACTGCAGTTTTGTTCCAGTAGGAATAGACTCAGTTGTTTCAGGGCATGTGTCGGTAAGTCCGATTTTCTCCTCATTCCTGGAATCATTAAGTGAACTCGCGGCCAGCTCAAGCTCCAAGGAGGAAGCAGTGGCTTTGATGCAGGTGTGTATGTCTCAGCAAACGATGAACGATGCTTGTAGACAATAGTGCCGTATGTCGTGCGGGGCCTTTCAGCAGCTAGGCTCGCCAGGTGGTGAGAAGGGGTCCTGGCATAATGCCTGAGGTGCATGCGCATTGTCTCGGTAATAATATGCCACTTTATCGAGTGATCCTGAGCGATGGCAATGGTTTCAGTCGTTGAAGCACTGCGGGGTAATCCAAGGCATATCTTAAGTGCTTGGGCTTGAAGGGTAGAAATAACGCCAAGGTGGCGGAAAAAAAATGTATCGACGAAATTTTCAAGCTCTTCTCAGAGATTTACAACAAAGTCCTTGTTGACATCTTTTTTTTTATTATTTGTAAAATATATCTACCTTTTTTTAACGTTTTCCAGACTCCCAGTGGGATTTGGGTTACGGTACCTGGAAATCGCTGCCACTCAGAATCACTTCTGGATCGCAGACGGTCGACGTCATGATGCTGCAACCTTATTTAGGAGATGACGACATTTTGAAGGCGAGCAGCTTCCCGTACTGCTTATGATAAACCATTTCTTTCAGAGCGTAACATGGTGGCAGAGGCCTAAAAGTTGTGGGGAAGTAATGTGCAGTGCAGCCTGAGACATTAACGTCCAAGCAGATTCTTGTTCTGTTCTGTTCTGTTCTGTTTTAATTCCTGTTCTTGTTCACCATATTCTGTGGCTCACACACACTGTGAGAAAATATCCAAGAATTGCGTGGTCTTATAAAATCTTGTGGAACTTTAGAATAATGCAGGTTTTAAAATAAAAACAAATTTCGTATGAAGTTTGTTTCTCGCTCAAATATAAAAAATAATGCTTTTTAATTTTTATTTACAGTTAAGCATTATTATTAATTTATTTATTGTATATTACTAAGCAGAATTATGTCCTACGTATTCATTTCCTTTGTCGTCTATCGGCGCCTTCGTAAGAAAAAAACTAAACTAATAAACTTAATTCGTTATTCTAGCTCTCGATTCACGCAGCCGAGTTTGTCAAAACAGATTAGGAGTGGATAAGCAATTTGTTTCTTTACGTATGCTCTTCTGTCAAGTCAACTACAATATTTCAGTTCAAATCAACACTCGTTTGTTTGTTTGTTTTAATTGATGCACAAGTTGGTGTGATATAACTGTAGGCCAGATGGCTAACATGCAGATTGCTTGCGAATAAACGAAAAAAAAATTAAGCAAGCTTCACTTTAGGGGTGACAAGCCTGAAATAAGGGCAAAGCTGCGCAGCCTTCTTTGTTTCTCTACGTTTTTTTTTCTTGTCTTCCTCCTTTCTCTTTCCTGTTCTCTTTTTCTGTGTTATTCTCTCTTTACTTCTATTTATTTCTACTTTTTCTCCCTGTTTTTGTTTTCTTTCTTTATCCCTTTCGATAATTCGCTGGCTTCCTCTTCCAACTTTCGTACGTGGTTTGTGTTGTGTTTCCCAGGCCACAGCAGTAACTTCCACACTTTATATCATCATCAAATCGCTCCGAAGAACAAGAGAAAGCAGACTGCAGTAGATATGCATTTATACTATACGTTCTTTGCCACAATAGGCTTCAGTTGCCAGTCGACGCTGCGTGGTGTTGTATGCGGGACTTTACTGTCTTGGTCTTTTGTGCTGTTTTCCTCGCGAGTTTATTTGTTGTGCCACTTCGCTCGCATAGGTTTTAGGGCGCTTTCTAAGCCAACATTCAGCTCAATCGATGCATCATTTAATTTCATAAAAAAGTAGCGGCTTAACTGCAAGGGCGAACAAAGAATGCGGCAACAACAAAATGTTATGTTACAAGAATAATGGTAGTTAACTCTTTTAGAACCGATCTCGTGCAACTCTACAAAACGCTGGTGTAAGAGAATGCGGCCGCGCCAGGGACACTAGAGTCCTTTGGGTGGCCGTATAAGGGGGTCGTATACGTTTGCTTAACGTGTGTACTACGGAAGCCAAGTAAATATTGTCATTAGCACAGCTTTTGATCGAACCTTGAGACGTTGCTTTCGTATTCTAGATCGTTTCCTCACTCCACGCTTCGCCTTTACTTGAGAAAGTCGATGGGAGCGCCATCTCTTGCAGAGCAAGTCACTGCGTGTTAGCGATAATTGGCAGCGATTCTTCAGAAGCACAGTGTCATTTTCAGTCGAGCAGCGGCGCAGTGCTCAACTCTGTCAAGTGAACACCGACATTCGAGTCGGATGAGCGTTTGTGAATGCGGGGGTTCGTTAGTGAAGCTGTGTTTTTTTTTCCCTATTTTTTCGGGTCAGTGTTCTTTAGCTTCTCATGAACATACCGACTTCCCTCTATATACCTCGACTTCATCGTGTAACGTCTCGCTTGCGATAAAACTGTCAGATCCCCCTTGGAAGAGGATGTAAGCGTCTGGCCCGGGGTCTCCCGCTTCCACCCAACTTCTCCAACCTGGACCTCGAATTTCACGTCGAAGTCGCCTTCAGCAACCCCACGGTTCTGGGCCCCACGCACTTCCTGTCCCACCTGGAGGTAAGTAGGGTGGCCGGATTAGCGCGCTTGCACTTTATGTGAGCCATTGATATTCTTCTTGGGAACATAAAAAGGACACTGAAAAGGGATAATAAAAAAAGAGGAAAAATGAACCTTACACTAGCCATGTAAAGCTTAGAAAACAGCGAAACTGGCCGATTTTAAAAGACCTGACGTGGCCTTCTCGTGACCTCTTTAGCTTAAGCGAAGTCTTTCCTTGGCGTAGACAAAGTAAAGTCGAACCAGGAGCTGTCACAGACCACGCAGAATTGCCCGAATTCCAGCGTTAGGAGCGCGCGCCTTATGTCACCCGTGCTCGGATCGCACGACGGGCAAACTCGGCGCTGCGGGTGCGCGAGCTGTCTCCGGCAATGGGCGCAGCCACGCAGCTGACTAGCGATGGCGCGGGAAGTTTTAGAGGGTGAAGCCCCTTGGGCTGTGGGTCGTTCCCTCCTCTGTAATAGTATGTTGTAGTAGCCACTTATAGTTAGCTTCAAGAATTGCTCATTAGATGGCGTTGTGTGTATGTGCTGGAAAGTAATGTCGCTAGATGGCGTTGTGTGTATGTGCTGGAAAGTAATGTCGCTAGATGGCGTTGTGTGTATGTGCTCGAAAGTAATGTCGCTAGATGGCGTTGTGTGTATGTGCTCGAAAGTAATGTCACTAGATGGCGTTGTGTGTATTTGCTCGAAAGTAATGTCACTAGATGGCGTTGTGTGTATTTGCTCGAAAGTAATGTCACTAGATGGCGTTGTGTGTATGTGCTCGAAAGTAATGTCACTAGATGGCGTTGTGTGTATGTGCTCGAAAGTAATGTCACTAGATGGCGTTGTGTGTATTTGCTCGAAAGTAATGTCACTAGATGGCGTTGTGTGTACGTGGTCGAAAGTAATGTCACTAGATGGCGTTGTGTGTACGTGGTCGAAAGTAATGTCACTAGATGGCGTTGTGTGTACGTGCTCGAAAGTAATGTCACTAGATGGCGTTGTGTGTACGTGGTCGAAAGTAATGTCACTAGATGGCGTTGTGTGTACGTGGTCGAAAGTAATGTCACTAGATGGCGTTGTGTGTACGTGGTCGAAAGTAATGTCACTAGATGGCGTTGTGTGTACGTGCTCGAAAGTAATGTCACTAGATGGCGTTAGTGGTTTTCTGATAGATAGATAGATAGATAGATAGATAGATAGATAGATAGATAGATAGATAGATAGATAGATAGATAGATAGATAGATAGATAGATAGATAGATAGATAGATAGATAGATAGATAGATAGATAGATAGATAGATAGATAGATAGATAGATAGATAGATAGATAGATAGATAGATAGATAGATAGATAGATAGATAGATAGATAGATAGATAGATAGATAGATAGATAGATAGATAGATAGATAGATAGATAGATAGATAGATAGATAGATAGATAGATAGATAGATAAAAACAGCAGTTGAGTCAGTGTTGCCGAAATCGGAATAAAGCATTCGGAAATCCGTGATATCATGGGTGGGGATTTCGGTACAAAATTAAAAAAATGACACCTTGACCCTAATTATGACTAGTAATAATGAGTGTATGATGCCGAAATTAACTACGATAGAGTTAACAGAGTATATTTTATTCGTCTAAGTGAATTCATTGTGTCAGTTTAGATTTTCTTTCACATTTGAGCACTAAATTATGAACACAAAAGGAATTGTCCCAGAATCATGTGGTGAATGAATCAAAATGAGATGTTTCATTTCCTTGACCCAACAGTTTGCAAATGGTGCACGGCCATTTCTACTATAAAACTAAAACGGCGTCCTCCTCCTGATATGAACAACGGTGGCACGTTTCTTTGATAAAAATTAACATAACTTTTTTGGTTAAAAGCTGCAATAAACAATTAGAGACAAAACACCATATTTCCTAGCATATAACCCGCATCAAAACAAAAAAAACGGTAAAATGCAGTTAATAAGTGTTGGTAAAAATTATGCGCATTTTTTGTTTTTTTTTTTTAGAGTTGGAGTCAAGGGGGCGGGTCAAGAGTTATAAAAGCGTGCTAATTATCGTAGTAGTGTCCAGTAAAGCCTTCCTTGAGCGCTTTTTTTTTTTGACGCGTTTGATAAGGGCAACAACACAGTGAGGCCCACATAAAACTAAAAAAGGACGCGTTTTACGAAAGTCTTTATCCTTATTGACATTATTTTCGTGGTATACACCACGAAAATGATGGTGGTCTTCGAGTACGTGTCGAAAGACGTTTATCGTATCTCGAAGTATGAAAAGATGCCGCATTTGTGTTTATATGTTTTAGTAGTTGCGAGGCGAAATAAGGGAGTTCTTTTCTTTTTCATTCTTTTTAAGGGGGGAAATGGCCCTTAGCGCTTCATTTTTCTAATACAATGAATTCAATACTCAGTAAATGTAAGACTGTCGTTTAAGAGCCGCAACAGAGCACCCCTTATGATTGTTTAGTATAGGAAGCCCTATTCCAGAAACTGTGACGTCACGTATAACGTGGTCTAACTTCAATTGAATTAACGCGGAAGTCATGCGAAAATATGAGAAGCGAAAAAGGTAGTTTCGCTGTTTGAGTGATGTAACTATGATGAAATATGAAGTAACGCTACTTCCTGTGGCGACATTACTTGAGGATATTCAAAATGGTGTGAAACAGAACACCTCAACTCGGTTCCTTATTGATCAGGTCATCCGCAACGTTAAGAACAACCTACTCAGCGTGACGACTGAGGACTGGACGGCGGCCAACAACGTCGCTTCCCCTCTTGTCATCATGGAACATATCTACGACTACGCCAATGGTGAGTACGAGCAAACGAAAGGACAGAGTAGTAGTTTTGTCTTTACTGCATGGCGCGCCCTTCGGCTGGGAGTTGGAACCCTTGACCAGACGGAAAAATGAAATGACGTTTCTGAATTCTGAAATTTTCTTGGATATAAAAAAATTACAAGTTACAGCTTGATTACAAATGACAACCTTTAACTCCCACCACCACCACCACCTTTTACGACTGTCGCTGCGCGGTACTGCCCCACTTCGACTACGCAGAGTGAGGGTGTAGGTGGTGGTTGAAACATCTATTAGACACAAGGTAGTACGCAGGGACCACCTGATAAGAGGACAGCACCCCCAATTAGTAAGTGGGGATTTACAGTGCGGTACCACATCGGCGTCGGCTGCTGCCTGTGCTCGTCGATCCAAGGCCTTTTGGGTCTGAAGGTCAGAACTGTCTAGCAGGGTCGCCTCCCACTCCTCTGAAGTCGGGTTGGCGATATGGGGGCACAGCAGGGTTGCGGTAACAGGCACACACCATGTGGTAGGTGTCCGCAGACTTCTCCCCACAGTGTGGGCAACTGCCGGAAAAGGCGGGATCGAAATGTTTGGGTGCTGTCACGTACAGCATCATGTTCGATGCTCGTTTCACCTACGTCTCCTCACCCTTTTACGGCGCGATTGCCTCATGCGTTGTCCCTCCCTATCTCGCCTAATGTCCCTGATCCCCCTTAATTTTCCAATGTACAAACCCAAGACGAGGACCAATCAGGTCATTCCATTGGTCGACCTCACATCGCCCTCCTCCACCACATCGAAAAAAAAACAATCTATATATCAATCATTCCCCTTCCTTACTCAATGCGCGAAGATGCGCTGCCTTTGAGCTCGCGGCGTACCTCGCTCGTGCCACGATATACTTTCGCAATCGGGACTTTAGACAAGACATGAAAGCGACGGAAGCTTGTCATTCAAGGTGTCCTTGTAAGTGCGACTGCAATGAATTAACCTCTGGTGCTACGGTTGAGTTGTCAATCCTCTTACAAACACTCAGGCGTGACGAGGTGAACGTTCACAGCGGTTGCTATTACTAATACAGATGCGTGATGGGTTTTTAACTCATGCCAAAAAATGAAAGTATGGTGAAAAATAAAAGCCACGAAAAAATTGGTCCAGCTCCACGCAGTGAAAACCACCGGACGGCAAACCAGTAAGTGCGCCAGCGTGTGTGATTGGATGTCCAGATCACGTGCATCATTATCACCATCATTTAACACTATCATCATAATAAGCATGTTTAGCATCACTAGCATTGCCACCATTCCGAGCATTATGGACGTATGGGTAGAGGCTATGAGCTTCCTTATAACAGGCCATGACGTGCACTACCAGGCTGGATACATTATCATCATCATTATCAGCGTGAGTGCCCCTAGCGGTGAGGCGGTGAGGTCTGTCCCTGCGTGACACCGGACAGACTTGGAGACGGTGCAGGCATGTTTTTAAAACATCCATGTTGTTGTACTCGCAGGTCACGTATACAGTTACGTGGACACCAACGGCCTCGTTGGCTGCAAAATCGAAGCCCGAGACGACGTGGCACCCACCGTTCCATTTCCGGACAAGAACGAAGTCAACTTGTTGCAGACGATACTGCCTACATACGACATCCTCAAGAACGCCAGCTACCTCGGCATCGTAAGTGCTAATACCACGAAGAATAAACCTCGAGGCTTATAGCCTAACTTTCAATAGACTACAGATGAACAAAACGAGGCCGTACCCAGGTGACCGAGGGCGCAGCAGTTAATTGCCTCGGCGATTTAAGTAACTTATGGTCTAGGGCGTCAGGGCGTGGCCTCAGCGATTACCTCCGGCAATGTGCCGTTACTATGGCGTATTGCTGGAGGCAATCTCGGAGGCCATAATCAGGGCCAATGGCTGTCCGGCTCATGATGTCATTCTGAAGTTTGCGCCCACTGGTGCGCGATTGTATCAATCTGCCATTCAGTTGAAATTGTCTCATATAAATTTGTACCAATTCAAAATATGTAGCATTCAAATTTTTAAAGTGGAGTCGTTCATACAATACAGCGTGAAAATTCATTTATTGCTGACCCTACCTTCAATTTTAATGTCACGGCCTCGTTGGCTACAAAATCGAAGCCCGAGACGATGTGGCACCCACCGTTCAATTTCCGGACAAGAACGAAGTCACGCATTCGAATAGATGGATTTCAGTAAAGACAACACACGTGCGTAAGGAACGGTCTCCTAGAGGCTAGAAATACCTACACGATGAATGTTATCATGTTTTTAGAGACTGCGATAGTGATACAAAGCATAGCTATCACCAGTAAACTTAGTATTGATTGATTGATTGATTGATTGATTGATTGATTGATTGATTGATTGATTGATTGATTGATTGATTGATTGATTGATTGATTGATTGATTGATTGATTAACCTTTGGACAGCATGAGGTCCGTGGCATGCCTGTACACATCTTCGAGCTGGTGACCGGCCCAATGTCAGTAGGAAATGCCAACCTCGGCCATGCTGTGCTCACCTACGGCTTCCTTACGGTAAGTGCGTAAGGCTCTAGCCTTACTTGCCTATCTCTAGCCAGGCTTGTAAACAGCTCAACCAGTGGAGTAAGGGTTGGGTGGTTTTAGTGGGAGAAAGGCTTGGCCAGCTACAACCTCGACGATCAGCCAAGGCTGACTGCAAGAGCCCATTGAACTGCAAGAACTGGAAGTATTCTGTATGAAGGGCGCCATTTCAAAGCTACCTCCCAATAAGATATTCTCAACAAATATTCTCTTCGTATTGTTACGCAATGATCCGTATTTTTTATACGTTAGCATTGCGAGGAATAGATTACCAAAATGTTGAAGCGGACTCTGCCACTCCTTCCTGATACTGAACCTTTTATCTTTCGCTCTTTTCTTATTTTTTTTACTTCTCTACATCTTCATTGCAGGAGGACGATTACATTCTGGATACCGCTGTCGACCATAGAAACCTACCTGTTCAAGTCACCATGCTCGCCTACGGCGTTAACAACAAGGTTAGCGATTGGGTTTGGCATGCCTCCATGTAGTCTTCTTAGTCGTTTATATACTTGCTATGTGGTCGTCGAAGTATGACTTACTAAGGCCTAAGCCATTAAAGCTGGCATTAAAAAGTCCGTTAACAAAAACACCGCTGCTGCGCCATTGCCATAGCAACTGCCACAGCTGCGTGCTACCTGTATTAAGGATAGGCAAGCCTCGCCGCGGAGTAGCTGTTGTCATAGCAACCGCCACAGCTGCGTGCCGCCTGTATTAAGGATAGGCAAGCCTCGCCGCGGAGTAGCTGTTGCCATAGCAACCGCCACAGCTGCGTGCCGCCTGTATTAAGGATAGGCAAGCCTCGCCGCGGAGTAGCTGTTGCCATAGCAACCGCCACAGATGCGTGCCGCCTGTATTAAGGATAGGCAAGCCTCGCCGCGGAGTAGCTGTTGTCATAGCAACCGCCACAGCTGCGTGCCGCCTGTATTAAGGATAGGCAAGTCTCGCCGCGGAGTAGCTGTTGCCGTAGCAACCACCAGTTTCTTACACCGTGGCTCGGGGACACGGCTTTAACGCATTCACACTGGCAAGCGGATCCGCCCATCGCCGTCCCTTGGCGGCCGTTGTTTCTTCGGCCAAGCACGCCGAGTCCAATCACCACCGGCGCTGCGTGTGGTTACCATGCTGCAACGCGACGATCTGAGCTCCAACCAGCTTCGTTGTGCCAAGTCTTGTGCAACTTGGTGCAAACTTCTCGCAATTTTCTGTTATTTCATCAAGGGAAGCAATATGAACAGAATATTCTGCCGCTTCAATCGTTGTATCATTGTATGAAAGTAGGTTTTTTTGGTATCATTGTAGTTCACGGAACAACCAGCAAAAAAATGCGCGCCACGCGTTTGAAGTGAGGAGGGGGGATGTGGCGAGGGAGCCACCGACCTCTAGTTAACTAAAAAAAGCTGAGAGCCCGGGGAGCTCCACACATTGACATGATAGGGTGAGGGTGCCGCAACACGGGCAGGCAGGGCATAAAGTTGGTCTCTTACATTGACCTAATAGGCGAGGGGGGCGTTGCGAGAAACCTACCCCCCCCCCCCCCCCCCTGAAGAAGAACCCTGTGCATGCCTATGCCCTTCACAGCAAGTCTGTTAAAGGAATACTGACACAAATTTTTGCGTCCCAGATAGCTTGCGCTATTGATTCCCGTGAACAGGCGTATATATCGTCTGCGAAATATCAACAGTCAATATAGCTTGCAATGTATTTTAAATGAATCTTGAAGATTGCCTGAGCGATGAACTGCATCGCGAAAATGACACCCTCAAAGGGCACCATTGGGAGTTCCCTACATCCCCGACGTGACCACGCTGCAGCAAGTTATGACGACGTCAAGTCCACCGTTTTTCTTTGTTCGCATTTGCTAATACTCGGCATCTGCTCGCGAGTCCGTTTCTGCGGCGCACGAGTTGAAAGTTTTTGTGTTTGATGACGTTACTGTCCTGTTTCCAATTTTAAGAAACTCCCAAGCATTTCGCGGAGGGTGAACATGGTTAAGTGCGAATACACGGGGTGATGCTATGAGGGGTATTTATCAATTCGCACTATTATATTTATTAATCACACTATGGGGCCTTTATGGTGTAATAGTTCCTGGGAATCGCAATTTGATCACACGGGGGAGTTTACGTCAACTCACTGGCGAATGCCAACGGATTTTAACTTTACTCCCCCTCACGACCCGCTCTCGACGGGAGACTGAGAGAGAAGGCGGGCGCGCGAGAGAGAGGGGTGCGCGCGCAGCTGCAGCGAGCGAGGAGAGCGGAGGAGCGAGCGAAGGGGGAGGGGGTATAAGGCGCGTTACTGACACCGATATCAGCGTCGCGTCCGTGGCTTATTCGGTAGGGCGTCGCGCTGCGGCCCGCCAAGTCCTCTTTCTTTTAAAGATAGAGAGAAGACTGCGGACAAGCCACGCCATAAGGAGCTTCGCCCCTAAAACTTCTTGATGGTACCCACGTGGACGTATGCCACAGTTCTGTGTGCTGACATGGTCTAGCGTTGCGCCCGCTAGGCGGCGATAGTTGCACCCGGTGGCGTGGCGTTTTTTTTTTTTTTAACCAAATCTGACACTGGTTGGGAATAACGAGCCTGTAATTTTCGGTCGTGCGTTGCAGAAAATGGTGTCTCGTGTTATGACAAACTGGCTCCCAGGAACACATTGCTGCAAGAAAAAACACGAGGCCAAAATTTTTGTGTTGGTACCCCGCCAATGTAAATAAATCACAGCCATCGACGGCAGGCCTCGCACGTGGGTCGATGTTATCGCACGCGCCCCATGTGCGACGGAGACGGCCCGCTTGCTTGTCTATCTGCCTCGCCCACATTCGTAGCCAGCTCTCGCACGCTTTCACTACTCGCACGTAGCACATTTGATGTGCGGAACGATTTCATCAATTTTGACTTTTTAAGGAACATGACGGCGACGGCGAGAACTCACCGTGAGGGAGCATATAATATCTCTGTCGCAATAAATACGGACGAATATTTATATGATATTCATACTGATCTGATTCTGCCTTCGTCTAGGTATAGTGCATAGTCGTGAGCAATGTGAGCTGCAACACTGAAATTACCTCTCAAATGTCCCAGTAGAAAAAATGCGTTTTTTATGATACCTTATTCCGTTCTTCCAGCATTCAACGAACAAATGTATTGTTCTACCGTAATTACTGTATGATAGGTCTTACGGTTATATATGTGCGTGTATATACGCGTGCAGCAAAATTTTAAAAAAATCAATTTGGCACAAAAAAAAAGGCATGTCTCAACAACCCCCCCCCCCCGCCCGCTCCCTGCCCCGCCCGGCAAAGCCAGTGGACACACTAATATCAGTGCATTAGAAGTAGTGGTTGAGTAAACGCAAAATTAATGTTCCAGCCGGTACTGATCATGATATTACATGAGCTTTGGTTTCATTATTCGCGAATTATTTTAATCATTTAGGCTAATAACAATAAAAGGGAATCAAATGGAGTGTGTGTGTGTTTGCCTGTGCGCGTGAGTATGTATGTGTGTGCCTTTGTATGTGTGTTTGCGTGTGCGTGTGCCTGTGCAAGTGTGTTTGCGTGTGCGTGTGCCTGTGCAAGTGTGTTTGCGTGAGTGAGTGTGTATGTATGTGAGTGAGTGTGTATGTATGTGAGTGAGTGTGTGTGTATGTGAGTGTGTGTGTGTGTGTATGTGAGTGTGTGTATTTGCGTGTGTGTGCGTGAGTGAATGTGTTTGCGTGTGTGTGTGTGCGTGAATGAGTGTGTGTGCGTGAGTGAGTGTGTTTGCGAGTGTGTATGTGAGTGAGTGAGTGTGTATGTGAGTGAGTGAGTGTGTATAAGTGAGTGAGTGATTGCCGTGCAAGATGGACAACTGGCCAGGGGACACGATTCAAGGAGGTCACAAGTGGCACTCATAAACTCCAGCCCCGCTTCCAAGATAGTACCGGTGGGAGATTTCTCCTGTCCGTTGCTGAACAATAAAGAATCATGGCGTGAGCGTCAGCTAAAAGCGGACAGCGGGTCCCTGTGTCCAATCGGTGTCTTGCATCTCTCATGGCCCATTAGCAGTGATTAGCATGTTCCAATAAGAAACACCGGTCCATCACTGCGAGCTTTGCGCCTCCCAAGTTTTTTTATCATGTGCAAAATCGCGGTGAGCGCCAGCGTCAACGCCGCCGCCAGTGTCAGCGTTAGCACCCGCTGCTATGTATCTAGACATGCTTCCGTTTAGATGGAGCTGGTGTAATGTTTTTCCTCCTTTCCTACAGCCTTACTTTTACTTCTACGCGAACATCCACGACATAACGACTACTGTGACTGACTTGAACGAGAAGCTGAGCGTGAAGGACTGCTACGACGAGAACGACTCAGAGTACACCTGGGTCCAGCTCGGATTCCCAGGTAATTTCCGATGTACTGACAACAAACCACTATGATCGAGCATAGTGAAAACAATGAGAGCCAATTGTACACAAAGCGAACGCTGTACAAACTGCGCACTGTTGATTACGCCTGCGTTTACCTTGTGTTTATATTGTGTTAATCTGCTCGTTTTTGTTTTTTCAAGGTGGAAGTCTTTAATGTCTTACATTCGCGCCCATCCGTCCGAGCCCTAGAACGGTGCTAGCTATGGCCTCTCCTACTAACTCTCTATAAGCAATCACGTGATGGCACAGTGGCGCATAGCAATAGTTGCGCCACCACAGCTGTGACCCCTCTTTCTTTTACCCTCCCATCAATCACGTGGTTCCTTAATGAAAAAAACAAAAAAACAAGATATGGTGCAGTGTAATGGTCATAGGTTTTCACCGAAAAACTTTGTAATTTACGAAGTGTTCTTTTTTGTGTATGTGAATTTTTCGGCGTCCAGAAGTGTATTCGAGTGACGGACGAAATCGCGATTCGACCCCGGCGATCACGTACTATACGTCACCGTACGTCACCCGGCCTGTTTCGGTCCACGCGGAGCGATTCATGAAACGACGGAAGCCTAAATAGAGCAATGACGAAATCCTCGCTTCTATAGCGCGAATTCTCCCCTGTCGTGCGAATGCTAGTTGCGGAGAAATCCGAATCACGTTCCACGTCAGCTGACTGATCCGTCCGCAATCACGTTCGTCGCGTGAACACAGCTTAACTCTTTGGCCCTGGTGTTTCACGTCCGCTTTTCTCTTCTGTAGTCTGCGTGTGATTTCCGACGCTAGCGTAATGCTGCTCGCTTATCTGGCTCCGACACACACAGAGAGAGAGAGAGAGAGAGAGAGAGAGAGAGGTTCTGTAGCCGTAATGGAACGTTCACGGATAAGCGCGTTCACTCTGGTTAAGTTATAACGGCGAGCGCACCTTCTTCTCGGGCGTGTAAAACGGGAGAGCTGCGTGAAGCCAAGCAACGCCGACTAAATTTCAAGGCCGAAAGGCTGCCGCAGTGACGTCAGAGGCTGGGGGCCGAGTTGCTCAACTGAGCATGCTCAGTAAGACTTTTTTTTTCTACATCTTTTATTCGGCCCAATCAAGCCGCAGCATCTGTGAGAGCGGGAGTGTTGTTTCTCCTAAAACGTGAACGAAACACAGCAGGCTTTCCGCCGCGTTTGCGGTGTAACTGGGCCCTCTGACGTCACTGCGGCAGCCTTTCGGCCTTGAAATTTAGTCGGCGTTGAGCCTAGGCGAGAAGTGGGCAAGGAGAATTAAAAAAAAAATTGCTGGAGTGGAAATGATTGCCCAGAAGTGAAGCCGTGTCTATGGCAAGACGGCGGCTGCGGCCGTCACCTTACTAGGGGCATGACAAATTGTCACCATTTTGCGATTAAGACAGGGAAGTTTATTGCAAACTGGTAACAACACTTCAGGTGAGCACAACTGTCTGGTGTAAACAAAATCACTTGAGTGGCCGCGTACAACCAAGGAAACATAGACACGATGTAGCACACAGCACTTCAAGATTCTCACAGATCACGAATCACCCAAGAAAACAAAGAGAAAAGGAAACGCAAAATCACTAATTGGAATACAGATTCACATCTTACGTGCGACGAGATAGTATAGTATATATATATATATATTATATATATATATATATATATATATATATATATATATATATATATATATATATATATATATATATATATCCTCCGTGAGTGGTCACAACCACGTTGTGACCGCTCACGGAGGATCTACAGGACTAATATATATAAAGTGTGACGATTTAGAGTACTGGGTACTCTACTACGGGAAAGCGGAAGAAGGCCGTCCCATGGAAGCCCAAACTCAACTCGGTGCTTTCATAGCAGCGTCGCCAGTGAGTTAATTCTCGCACGTCTAACGAGTCTAACGTAAAAACTTTTTCGGGTCACATAGTGCTCCAAGTGCGTCTTGGTGTTGCTAATTTTCCTTAGTAAGCCTCATTGGAGCCAAAGTTCTTTGCAAATTCAGTCACCTATACTCGTTTTCTCTGTGCTATATCGTCGGGAACAACTATCCTTTAATATGGAACTAACGTAGCATTTACATTAACATATCAAAGCCACTTAGGCACTACCAGAAAGGAGCATGTTTCCGCCATCTTGGCAGTGGCAAAAGCTGGCTTCACTTCTGCAGGCAAGGCATTGCGGGAGCTTCCACTCCAGCAATTTTTTTTTAATCCTGCTTGGAAGTGATACGACGACATGTGTGGTCCCTGACAGCACACCCCTGAAAGCGCAAGTTGCGTTCGCGACTTATTTGGAGTAATTTGTAGCTTTGTGTTTGGTAATGCCAAAATTATAAATATTAAATGCTCTATTGCACGGTGTAATCAATGCTAGGATCGTTAATTCAGAACGATTTCGCGCCAGTTCGAGACGTTCCCTTCAATACCATGAGAAACCAGCGCCCGACAGCGGGGCAGGGCTTGAGACAACGTGTGCTAATTTCGTTGACGCTGAAAGGAAACAAAAAGTCTGTAAGGATCATCAAGTACCGTTTGAATCATTGGTGCATTCAGGTCGTCTCGGAAGGGACGGCTTTATTCTCTCCCATAGTAGAGTACTAAGTACTCAAAATCGTTAACCACATTTTTCTAAACACAGTACCGTTTGGGATACCGCGAACAAAAAGATGACTTGTTGTATAGATAGTAGGTAGAGTGCCTAGTGCTACGAATCGTTACACGGGACGGCTTTCTGCTCTCCCATAGTAGAGTACATCGTACTCTAAATCGATAACTTTTTCTACACACACACTGATTTCGAGTGCCCTAAGGTCCGTATCAAGGAACGGCTTGCTGCGCTCCCATAGTTGAGTACGAAGTACTCAAAATCGTTAAACACTCTTTTTTTAAGCACACTGCGAATGTTCCGTTGGTTGTGCTGGTTGCTGCCCGACGTGGGTAGCAGTTTAGGGGACGGATTTGTGCCCTCCCATAGTAAAGTACCAAGTACTTTAAATTGTTCAACACTTTTTTGTAAGCACGCAGAACTCCATGGCGTTAAATTCACCATCATATGTGCATTAATGAAAGAAGAAAATCAAAGTACCACTTTTAAATTTTGGGCCGAAAATCTCCGCGCGTAACGTCACGGATTTCAAAGTGTGCTTTCGTATTTGGCTACATTGGCTAACGAAATTATCTGAAAATTGTCAAGTCTCGAGCACCGTCGGGGGACATGGACTTCCGCCTTACCGTTCAGGAATGACGTATGCCCCAGTAGACACCATCAAAAACAAAAATATATGGCGTCACGGTTACTACCAGAAGTTCAAGGTGGCGTCGCCACCAGCATTATCATTACACACGTTTTCTCGCTTACAAAAGAGGAAGGGAGAGTTAAAAAAGAAAAACACCGACACACACGCACACACAAAATCAGTCCACTCAGAGGCGTTCCGACAGGCAACTCTCCCTTTCTCTTTCAACCCCCTGTTCCCCAACTCCAGTGTAGGGTAGCATACAGGGTACTAGCATCTGGTTAACCTCACTGCCTTCCTTTTTTCTCGTTTCTCTCTCTTCTCTTCTCGCTTACAAAAGTGTGTTGTCGCGGCAAGCACGTACATTTTGGAGTTGAGAAAGAGTAGTTTACTAATGCAAAAAAAGTCTCTTTTTCTTATCTAACGACCCTCTAAACTTCTCCGACATTAAAAGCATGGATGGCGCTTGTCATAAAACGCCCAGGCGCAGTTGAGATGAATCCTTGAACGGGGGTTGGTGCCAACGTTTGGACCGACAATGGTATTGTCTTCTACGAGACGGCTAGTGTTGCCTGGCTTAGCGCGTCTACGTGTATACTTTGTACTTTCTCCCCCAACCAACACAGGAGAGAAGGAAAGGGCAAAGTGCGCACTCTCTCATCTGCCCTTTCCTCTTTTGGTTTGGTTGGAGGAAAGGGTACGAAGCGAACACATGCACGTACTAAGTTGGGAAATTCGCTGCCTCTTGGAAGACAGTATACGGTTTGTCCAAACGTTGGCACCAGCGACAAACCCCGTATTCAAGGACTCTTCATTACCGTCATCATGGTAATGTGCAAAGCGCAAACAAGAAATTACAAGCACACAGAGGAGAAACTCAAAATACACGCTCGTAGCGCTATCTACCAACGCGCTGATGAGTTCACAGTCAGCGCCGATGATGAAAGTTGATGCGTTGATGGTCACCGATAATGACGAGCGCCGATGAGCTGGTAGCCAGCGTTTCTTGCGTGGTTTTTGTGTGCCACCTATGTGTTCTTTCATTTTTCGTAGTTTATGACATTGAATATTAACAACTAAACGAATCTCATATTTCTAGACATTGATCATAACACCATCAGGATCATTGCGCATGCGCTCTGAAATCCATGAAATGTGTCTCTAGTTCCATCTTATGCAGCACGTCGAACGGAAGCTTCTGTCGTTAACAGTGTGGCGCTGCTTGTGCACAAAAGACTGCAGCCGAAGGTGCAAATTTATTTCGTGTTTCAGCAAGTCTATGAGCTCGCCGGTCTCTTTCCTACTTTTATCTTCGTTCTTCTAACCTTTTTTTTTTTTGGCATCTTCACTTACAGTGACTGATAGGCCGGCCCTCATGATGGCAAACAGCGCCAACATCAAGCGGGCGTTCCTGGAGGAATTACAGAACGTCACAGGGCTATCGCCGCTCAGAACCCCGGATGTGCTGGTGCGTGATCCTAAAAGTATACGCACTCAAAACGTATACACGTGCACTCAGAATGTTAGCCAAGCGTAAGACACGGGTAAAGAACTGGTGCCATATACGGTTATGAAGTCTACATTAGTCTTATCCGAACATTTCAAAGCAATACAGTGGAGGTTGGAGCCAGAAAGTGACGAGAAGTAGCGCAAGCAGAAGACAGCAACAAAAACTATGACAGGTCTCACAATCCAAATGTAGGCTGCAGCTACTTGCCATGCTCGGCGACATTTTATCTCTATGTGCCGCGTTTCAGCCACAATTTCCTTCCATCTTGAACAAAGTTTTCATCAACAAAGTTGCCGAATTCAACTTGTCAAGTGCATTCACGTGCTAAACCGACGATGAGCGGCTGCAAGATTGGCTCTGAGAAAAGATAGTTTCGCTGTACTCTCCCCATTATGGGTACATGACATCAAAAAAGAAAGGAAATGAGAGCAAGATAACAGAATATGATACCGGTTCTAACTCGATCTCTCTGACTTTCAGATTGATTTCACGGATAACATGGCCTACGTCACTGTGCTTATTCTGGGACATCCTGCAATTTCGGGTTTGTATAACCGATAGAGTAAACTATTTACGATTGTTACGCTTATGGTTGGTTGAGTACTTGATTAATTCATTTATGCACTCATTCACTCACTCACCAACTCATTAATTGATAAACTGATTGATTGATTCACTCACTTATCAATGGATAGACTGAATGGTTGATTTATTGGTTCATTCATTCATCCATTGACTCATTGATTGATTTATTGGTTTTCATTCATCCATTGAATCATTGATTGATTGGTTGTTTCATTCATTCATCCATTGACTCATTGATTGATTTGTTAGTTCATTTATTCATCCATTGACTCATTTATTGATTGGGTGGTTCATTCATTCATCCATTGACTCATTGATTGAATTGTTGGTTCATTCATTTATCCATTACTCATCGATTGATTTATTGATTCATTCATTCATCCACTGACTGATTCATTCATTGTTTCATTCATTCATCCACTGACTGATTCATTCATTGACTCATGCATTCATCAATTGACTCATTGATTGATTCATTGAGTTTACAGGTTGGGGGGGGGGGGGGGGCATCTGCTGCTGTTTATACTGTTGCGCGCAAAGTAGGCAAACTTAATAGAGATCTTCGGAGTCTCTTAGCTACAACGAAGACGACTTAAGTCGAAAGCTATTAAAAATTCATTAAAGCGCATTCGTTTGCATTATTTTTGAAACTTTTGTTGACATTCCCACTTGTTGTGCATGCAACATGGCATGCCAGAACGAGGGTGACAAGTGTTTAAACACCCGACGAGGCATAAGCAAGATTACAGATGAATTCATTTTTAAATTCAGCAGTTCTTTCTTGAAGACCTCTCGAAACTTCCTTCTTAACCATGGGCTTGATTTTGTACGTTGCGAAATTCTGCCATTGGTCAAATATAATTGGCACAGAGAACCGCTACGTCTTTTGTTATGCAATTTAAATGCGGCCATCGCAAAGTTTGACAATACGACAATATTTGACAGAGTGCAGAACAGCACCCCGGCTCGGCATAACGCTTTAGCAAGGATGGAGTGAGCTACAAATGCTCGGTAATTCTTCATCGCGCAGGCGACTACGCAGAGATACCGAAAATGAAAATCATGGAGCCCGAATGGACGGAGGGGGCCATCACGCGCGACAACTGTCTCAAGGCGTGCTCTTCCAAGGACAACAAGGACTGCAGGTGAGGAGGCGGGCGCTCATGTTGAACACTTTCCCATCTGGAAGTAAACCACCCCAGAACAAATCTGCGCGAAGTGCGTGAGTAGCGCGGCAAGCATGCACTTCGACGTTTCTTTTTAGTGTGTAAAAAAGAGAGATGACAAATGAAGGTAGGTATAGGACTGACCCAACGCTATCTTTTATGGAGTGCTTGAAAAGCACAGTTTAAGGCATAGTATACACTCATGGGCGTGTCTATAAGCATCTACCACACGCTAGCGGGTTTGGAGATCCACTACGACAGCACCTGCGAAGTATCCGCTATGTAGAACATGCTACACTCAAGCACACGTTCAGGGAATTCGAGGAAAATGCATACGCTCCCATGCAGTCTCGACTAGGTGGGACGATGACCTGCTGAGCTCCCAACCCTCTGATCAAATCTGGGCCGTCCAGCAGGCCCGCGAAGCGACGACTAAGCATAACCTGGACGTTCGGACGTAGGGGAACTCAGCCCGAGATAGGACATGCCGAACTGCAAGACATTCAGTATAGAGGTTTTACCGATCATAACCATTCCTTCAGGACAGATTTCTTTATAGAAGAAAAAAAAATCGGGACAAAATGCGCAGTGTTCTCGATTTCGGCTAAGAAATCCCGGGCATTCATGATGCCTGCCTCTGCAATTTTCGCACGCGACAGAATGTCTTAATGAATGTGCCCACTCTCTCTCATCCGCACTTCGCGATTGAGTAGTACAGTGGTCTACCGTATCTTCTCTTATGCTATAGCAGTGCTGGTTAGCTCCGAATAATGAATAACATTGGGCTAAACGATATCATATGCCTGATAGTGTCAACGACAGCTCGTTAACTGATAGGCAGTTTTTTTTTTTTTACTAAAGTAACGTAAGTGTTGTTGAACGCTGGATAATGGTAACTCATGATTGTATATCTTGTTTTAACAGCGAGGTGGTCTTCGTCATAACTCGCTCAAGCGAGCGAGTTGTGGTTTTTTTTTCTTTGTACGCACAGAGAACCACCTGAACGGTTGCTGTCCGCGTCGCTGGTGCAGATGTCACGGGAATCGGATGGCCCGAAAGTCACGGGCTCAATCCCGGCCGGGGCGATCGTATTTCGATCGTTGCAAAGTGCTGGAAAAGCACGTGTACTCTGAGATGCGTAAGTGCGCGTTAAAAAGCACCGGGCGGTCGCAATATCCCGTGCCCTACACTACGGCGTGACTCATTATCGTATTTTACTTCATTTCGTTACCTTAAAGACCCCGTTCGAGGTATTACATAAGAGGTGGTTAGCATATTGGAAAGATAAAACCAGGTGTCGTGGCGTGATACAGGTTTTCAACGCTGCTTTGCCACGTAAAAGCTTAGATGTCTTCGACTGAATTGATGCTGCCCGACTCCCTTTTTATTTTTCGAGCCTCTTATGCTGTTTCTACTCTGGCTTTCAGCGCCGTATCCTACTGTAGTTCAGTCTGTGCGACGACGACGAAGGCGAGTGTCAACTCGTCAGGCGTGCTCGTGAACTCGGGAGACTGCAGCACCTACGTGAGTGAGTATCGCAGCACCCGCGGTTAAACTTAAGCAACGTTCGTTTTCGGCACGTCTTAGAAGGCACCCTATGGTACTCAAGCGATTGCTTTCTTGGGAATCGTGACGTAATATCCGCGAGAGTAATCACCAAGTCACGTCTCGTGGTAGTTAAGCATTGGCTTCGTTAATTTGAAGTCTCATAGCCTGGGTGCACAGGGGCTGACATACATTTATGCGGCGTGTATAGAATATGACCCGCATTGTTGCGTGATATTCAAGTAGGTCTATGGTAGCACAGTGATGGGCGAATAGTAAGATTGATGTTTGAAACGAATTGGAGGTGAATTGCTATTTGGTCGTATAATTTGGAATGCAATATTTTTGATAATATACAGTATCTATTACTATAAAGAAAGAAGCTTTTTTTGTAACCATCCAATTGAATTGCGCAAAATTTTTAAGAATTGAGGCTAGAAATGCGTGAATGTCGCTTGTTTTGTTTCGAAGTAAAGTTGAGGCAACTTTGAATAGTAGCATGGTTTGAGTCGCCGAAGTGTTGGAGTTTTAAGCGGTAAAATACGTTACATATTAAGACTTACTATTCTTAGCTCATATAATCCCACATAACACGCTTGTAAACTTACGAAATAACTATTCGAGGGTAAAGCAATACGCACATTTAACCTTGACGTGTGGCTTTGCGGCAGTGCAGAGTTTGTTTGGTTGGGTGGTTCCACAACATAACGTTTTCAGGCTGCATTGAAACCACTTTCAGGAGCCAACTTGCAGTCAAATATACGTCAATTCGTTCGTTCCGATCCGTGTGCTCTGATTTGGGTGCACGTTAAAGAACCCCAGGTGGTCGAAATTCCCGGAGCCCTCCACTACGGCGTCTCTCATAACCAAATGGTGGTTTTGAGACGTTAAACCCTACATATCAATCAATCAATCGTTCGTTTCGAAGACTTCTAAATTAAAAGAAAATAATTTAATTTCGTGTCGAATCGGATCGGAATCCTGTGGTATCCGTTAGAATATTCGAACGGGTCGAATATTGCCTATAGTATACAGATATCGTTCCTGCTTTTTTTTGTGTGTATTCAGAGACAGAACGTTCAAAAAGAAGGAACGTCGTCCTCACCCGAGACGCCATCTCGTACCTGGAAGATGCACTACGAAAAAGCGAGTTCAAGATTGTCGTGAAGCACCTCAACACAGTAATAGTGGTAAGTTCAGTCGAACCTCCTGTACAAACAGAGGCGGATCCCCCTGTCTTTCGAGTGCCTCCAACCCGTGTTCGCACCGGCCTCTCGACCCAACTCCTGACAACAGCTTAGCGCGGCGAAATGTGCTTATGGTTGATATGGGGTAGTCCGTATTTGTCTTAATTCCTCCAATTTATTGCGATCAGAAAACTAATTGAACGAGTGGAACCTCTGTGATCGCAGAGTGTCAGAGAGAGAGAGAAACGAGGAAACAAGGAAGGCAGGGAGGTTAACCAGATGCTAGTATTCAGTATGCTACCCTACACTGGGGTTGGGGAATAGGGGGTTGAAAGAGAAAGGGAGTTAAAAAATAAATAAAAGAAAAACACCGACACACGCGCACACACAAGATCAGTCCGCTCAGAGGCGTTCCGACAGGCCAGTAGTTCGTAAGAAGCACAGTAGCGCTTGCACGGCTTTCTTCTGTGACGATGAGTCATGACGATGGCGCAGTATACTTTCTTCTGACAGTGGCTGGTCATCTAACCTGTTTAGTTTATTAGAAAGGTGTTGTCTTTCCAGGTTGTGTGAGTATTTATGCTGTGATGGGGTTCTCATGATAGTAGCAACTACTAAATCTCTTTCCGAAGTGTATTTTTCTTGCACTTGAATAAAATAAAAAAATAAAAAAGTCAGGGTCTCCCCCTTATCCTTTCCGGCTTCGCTTCCAGCGACTTCCCCCTGCATCCCCTCCTTAAAATGAGTGGCAGCATGCAACTGTGCACACAAAGCATCTGTTTTATTCATAATTCAGCGTGTGACCCGTACGACAAGTTCGTACGGCCACAATGAGGAGGATATGCATCACTTGTTGCTCGACTGCCCGGTGCACAGAGCCTCCTCCAACATTTACTTGAGGTATCTGTGGCGTTGCAACCATGCAGTCACGACGGAAACCAGCGGCTGCGGCTGCAGCTCGTTCCATGGCAGTCATTTTCGCGGCGCCGATTCGTGCTTCCGTGGCGCTTTGGCACACCTTTCATTTCCGCTATTCTTTCTCCCAGCGAACAACACGCGTCTGTCCTATAGCCTGTCCGTGCTGATAACAAATCTAGCGCCGAATTTCAAGAGACAAAGGGACGCATCCCGAGACAAAGTGATTGATGGGAAACAGAGGCCGGTAAAACTAGCGGAGCTATACTCAAACTCCCTCACGAAATGTATTTCGTACTTAGGGTTCACTCGGACTCAGAATCACCAATATTTCCCCAGCAGGACTCACTGGCACTCGCACTCACAGAAATTGTCTTAAGGCAGACTCTCTCGAACTCGAACTCGCCATAGTATAATTCAGCCGGACTAAATGAGACTCATACTAATGGCTTGATTTGAGTAAGTCCGAGTGGAACGACTCGCGAGTGCATTTTCCTGCAATTAGCTTTGTCGTCCATGTTCTTTAAACCAAATATCACATGTAATCGGTGCTCTTCGTGGCGTATTTCAAAATAGTACCTTCGAATACGAGCTGTAAGTGTTAGCAAATCAGTTAGGTTGTTTTTTCTTCGAAGATATCACTACATCAGATTTATTTATCAAGAAATTCCCCAGAACAGCTGGCTGCGGGCCAGCTCTTCCGGAGAAGCTCTGGATAAATAAATCATCCGGGGAAGTTCTTGAAACGCCATTGATCAATAAATATCGAAACGGTGTACGAACGGCACTGCTTTTAGAATGCGTGCTATAGTAGCCGTGAGTATAAACGGGAATTCAGGTAAGGCTGACAGTAAAGCCGAAGTTGAGCAGATAGAACCGTAAGCCGTAGAAAAAACGTGGAACTTCCTCAAACTCACTCAAGTAATATATCTTGTGATCTGGACTCACTTGGACTCAATCTCATCAAAATTTTCCCTGGGCCGAACTCAGTCGAACTCGCACTCACAGAAACTGTCTTCTACTGGACTCGCTCGGACTCATACTCACCAAAATGCTACTTACCCGGACTCCATCACACTCACGGCTCGATATGAGTCTGAGTAAGGCCGAGTCAGTCGACTAATGGGAGAGTTCGCCGACCTATCGTGGCAAATTCCGCCACCCAGCACGCGACTTTTGTGAAATGAAAGGGACATGGCCAGTGGCGAGGGGCACCTGGGACGACGAGGCGAGATGTGCCAGAGTTTTTCGTTCGAAGCGTTTTCTGTGAGGGGGGACGGGATCCACTAGAGTGAAAATGTTTTTAGGTGGTTTTACCCCCTCCCTTTCCAGTGTCAATTTTTTATGACATGGCAGTTCTGACCTCGAATATAAGGTTTCCACTTCAACCTGTATGTTAGTGAATTGCAACCTCGTGACATGGAGCAGAAAACAAAGGTGTTTTAATTCAGATTATGTACATTATTGTAACTTCACCTAATCTATTCTTTGTGCCTGCAGCTCCCCCCTCATCTCCCCTCCCTCTCCCGATTTTTCCGTACGGCCCCTACTGTGTCGGCTTCACGCAAAATTATCCCTCCGCCTCAAAAGGTTGCCGACCCTACACTTGAACCTAAGTATAACAGTGGGGTGGTAAAATGGTTTTCCAACGGGACACCCTGTTTCATAACTATGTGGTCTCAGAGTTCGTCTTTCTGTCGTTCCTCCCATGAACATACTTTCTTTTTGCATGCAAGCAACACCAGCCAGCAAGTCTGGTTTTAGTGTCCAGCAGACGTTTGGATTATATATGATGTTCATTCTTCGTTCTCTCTTTTTTTTAGCTTTATCTTGCCCTTCGGGCTGCTACTTGATAAAAATGATAACCGACAATCTGAATTTGAACATGATGTGCTTTAATTTTCTCTTCGCAGGTTGGCACACTCGTCGCTGAAACTATAGAGTACTCCACGGGAGGGCTGCGTAACATGATCGGAGAGTCGAACCCCGACTTGAGACACCTACACCAACGCAGTAAGGGCACGAACTGTTGTTCTAATGCGATGGCAATTACATGGATACACTCGGTGGCTTTTTTTTTCACCGTCATCTTTCTTATGTATTGACAATCGATAACATCACCCAATGCAATTGACGTTGTACGAACGCGTCTAAAGAAGAGATGAAACGAGCCAGCCATCTGCGTCACACAGGTGGCACGTGTGATTTAGCGTTTTGTAGAGTTAGGCGAAATCGGATCCATAAGAGTTAGCGGCAAGCCTTACTTCTTTATTGCGTTCATCGCTTCGCCCTAATGAACAAGCCATCATTTTTTTATTTCTTCTCGTAATTTATTTTTAAAGTATTTCACGACACAGGACTGCCAGGAAAGCGTGCCTTCTGTCAATCCTGTGTCATCTTCTTTAACATGTTATTCACTGGCAGTTTCGCTGTTCTTCATCCTAGAAACGTCACGCCAACTATCCTAACAGTTCTCACTTCTACAATTTCATCTCTTGAATGTTTCGTTTCACGAGACGGAGGCTGGCCACTTTAGTGTGCGTTGGTATCTCCTCCCGTACGTATAACCGACGCTGTTGTGCGAATCACTGTGATTTGCTAGGTTTCGGAGGCAAGCGAACAAGAAAAAAAAAAGCGGTAAAAAAAAGCGGTGTCAAAGAAGGTTTACTTGCGAAGCTTCGATCGGCGAAATCGTGCTCCCTACACTTTAATACAAAAAAAAACAAAGAGTTCGTGTTACGCTTTTATGTGGGCCATATGGCTTGCCTCGTGTGTCGCCCTCTTTAAAAAGCCACGTTAGCGCTCTTTTGGGTAACATGATACTCCAGAGAGTACGATGACCCCCCCAAAGAGAACTCCTATGTTACCTAGAGTTATATAAGAACGAGTCAAGGCTTTCAAAGAAGAGTCAGAGCAATCTTTGTTTTCTTTTTCTTAGAGTGATTTCTTTTTCTAAGAATGAACTAGTTTCTAATGACGTTACACGTGTTCGCTTAGCAAACGACTGGAAAGTGCAGAGCGTAAGCGGTAAAAAAAAAGAAAACGTTGAAGTAGAAGATTAAACCACTTGTCTCCCATTTTTCTACCCACAGCTTTGGTCACGAATGCAGAAGTGAACTCAAGCACTTGCTACTTCCTATTACGTGATGGTCATTGCTAAGCAAGTCTGACAACTCCGTTCGTTGACAACTCCGTCCGTAGCCATTAAGGCTAAACTTCATATTTAGTTTAATTTCCCCCCTGCAGACAGCTTCAACGCACCCGAAGGTCTCAAAGAGAAACTGGTGGTGACGGCGCTCAAGACGGACAAGCCCTACGGTGGATACGTGGGCTCGTTCGAGTTGCAGGACTGCGCCGACGTCTGTCGTGACCGCGAGGACTGCTTCACCTTCTCGAGCTGCCTGGTCGGCAAGCAGTGCGTCATCGCCACGGAGGCCCGAAAGCCAGAATTCGAAGAGACCGAGTTCCAGGCGGACTGCACCATGTACACGAGTGAGTGGCCCTAGCGCAAAAACATGCTTCGGACTAATCAACATTCATGAGATCATCATCATCATCATCAGCCTGACTACGCCCACTGCAGGGAAAATGTCTCTCCCATGTTCCACCAATCAACCCGGTCCTGAGCTTGCTGCTCCGCGTTTTTACTTGCATACTTGATATCACCTGCCCACCTGACTTCTCCTCCCCCTCGCGCGCTTGCCTTCTCTTGGAATTCACAGTTACTATCAGTGACCAGTGGTAAACTTTTCGACACGCCTAGTTTCCCGTCAATGTCCTATTTTCTTCTAGTTCAGACCCCTAACACCCGTTTGTTTATCATTTACTCTACGCTCTCCTCGTCTTTAAAGCTTACGTCGCTCGTTTTCCCGCAACCACAGCCCATGCAGTTGTAGCACTGCCGTCCAATTCTTACTCAGACAACACTCTTGTCCCGATGTGGCAATAGATTAGAGGAGATCCTCGAAGCGTTTTGTATTGCGCCGCAGGACACGCTGCAGTAGCCCCGCCGCGGTGGTCTAGTGGCTAAGGTACTCGGCTGCTCACCCACAGGTCGCGGGATCGAATTCCGGCTGCAACAGCTGCATTTTCGATAGAGGTGAAAACGCTGTAGGTCCGTGTGCTCAGGTTCGGGTGCACGTTAAAGAACCCCCAGGTGGTCGAAATTTGCGGAGCCCTCGATACTACGGCGTCCGTCATAATCATATGGTGGTTTTGGGACGTTAAACCCCACATATCAATCAATCAACACTTGCAGTAGTTGCACGTCAGCAGCGCTTGAACGGATTACCTTCATGTCGTGATAGAGTACGTTATATATGATGGCAGATGCTATGTTTAAGGAAGCGCAAACGACAGAACAAGACGTTCACACTAAGAACGCTGTCCTGTCATTTACACTGTTTTAAATAATATCAAACTATACTAACTATCCCACCAGTCGACCTAGCTACGTGATATTGATGTGGTTTGCTTTTATATGTACAAGCATTCTTGTTTTGTCTTGTTTTTTTCTATGGAACTACAGCTGACAGTTGGCGCTCACATGTTGTAAGTGTTTCTTTCCACTACTAGTGCTTGTTTAGCAGCGTTTCATCTTCCGGAATCACCGATGATCCCCACCTCACACAATGATTCGTCTTCGGTGTCTCTCACAGAGTCGTACGAGATGAACTCCGAAGAGCTGCCGGACATATGCTACTCGTCCGCGGCGACCAAGTACGTGGGCGACGAGCCTCGCCTCGGAGTGCGCCGCCGCATGCATGAACGAGAAAGAGTTCACGTGCAAGGCGTTTGACTTCTGCGCAACCCCGCGCGAGGGGGGACTGTCCTGCCGCCTCCAGGACAGGAGCATGCTGCAGGTCGACAACGCCAATGACCTCGACCGAAGCGGCGCCGAGAAGTGCAGTCACTTCACGCGTGAGTAGAATTTCAAGGCTAACCAATAGACCCATTCCGTGTTGGTAAAACACACGTAGGCCGATGTCGACATTATGGGTAAAATTATAGCGACGTCCGCACGTAATTAACTTCCGCCATAAACACTGAGGGCTGTGATGTGCGCCAACAAACAAAACTAAGTTGTGAGACGTGACTCACATCCAACCACGACGCAGCTCGTCCGCATGCCGTTTTTTTTCTTGTTTTTTTTTTCTCGTTGCGTGACTGAGAACACCACATGCACCATTGAAAACGCAGCAGAAACTGCGGTAGGCATAGCGTCCTTTGTCTACAAAGACAGTACCACCGCATTTTGCATGACGTAAGTCCGGTGGAATTTGTCTATATATATTGGGGGGGGGGAATTCCTAAGCTTCGCCTTTAAGAGTAGAACGCGGTAGTGATATCCTGCCCCTAGTGCGCGCACTTCAACCCCTTAGCCTCTGTCAGAAAAACTTTTGCACACGGCTGCATTTTGTGATATGGATATCATGCTTTAAACAACGAGCAATTATGCACGAAAAGTGATTTCGAAATTGATATGCGCCCATTACTACGTCGTCTTAAGAGAATAGGCGCAGTAACGTGTGCCCTTTTTGTAATAGGTGGCCGGCTTGGAACCACGAAGTCGACCTGATAATCACATGTTCTGACCCCCATTGGCAATGTTTATTGTACCACTCTATACTACTGCGATATTACATGTTTCATTGTAGTCTATATGCAGAACGCTTGCGTTTGCGAAACATGAAAGGTATGTTCATTGCATTTTCAAGTATACGCGTGTCTTTTGTGTGGGACAGAACACCTGCTTGCCACAGAATCTTCATCTCGTCACAATATTCGGGAAGCTCTGAACAAGTTATTGCGTGAGACAAAAGTATAGGGGAGACTAAACAGTTTAAGGAATGAAGAAACAACGCATATACGGGAAAAATAGAAAGGATCATGCGCACATGGACGGGTGCATGCTTCTTTCGCTCTATGCGTCCTGTTTATGCGCTTTTTTGTTTTGTTTTGTTTCTTAAACGACACGTACCAACTAGCCTGCCTTTTACCGTTTGTTCACTTCAAATACTTGAGAAACGTGGCGTAAGGCTAAACGATAGTTATAGCGCGAGAACAGAACGACGAAAACGAGACAAGAAGGTCGTCGTTCTGTTCTCGCGCTGTAACTATCATCATGTCATACCAACTAGCCCAAACTGCCACACTTGCAAAGCTAAAAATACGAGAATGGCAGAAACAACGCGAAGTATTGATGCGCAGAGTGGCCCAACAGAGCGTATACTCCTGAGTCACAGTGAACAGTTTTCGGGCATCGCGCGATTTTCTTTCCATCTCCACATTCCCCCATCATCATCAACACCTTCCCTCTCCTTTCTTTATCATACCCCTCCCTTTCATAACTCAGAGTAGCGGGTCAGAAAACTGATTCAAGCCGACCACTCAGCTTCTTTGTCATAATTTACCTCTCCCTCTCTCTCTGTGAAGCAGAGCGTGGTTTACGAGTGAACCACTGAACGCGTTGTATGGCGAGCGTGTTCTGCTCCAACGGCGTCGTTCGCAGGTAAGCACATCAGCGACTACTGCAAGGAGCGGAGGGTCCGTCTGCTGGGCACGCCACGCACGACAATCAAGAAGGTGTCGGAGGCCGAGTGTGCGCGACAGTGTTGGGAGGCCACTTTCCGCTGCGAAAGGTTCGACCACTGCTCGGGCAAGAACGAACTTGGCAAGAGCGACTGCCTCCTCTTCGACGGCGACAAGGGAACCGACGGCACCGTCATGTCGCCCATCTGCAACTCGTACACGTAGACGGGACAATGTGAGTGAATACTACACGGCGCACGCCGTGGCATAATCCTAACGGCTAAGGTGTTGCGTTGCCAGTGCACGTGGTCACGGAATATCTATATTCTCTGCTACAGCGCGACCTCATTTCGGTGAGGGCAGGCTGCAAAAAAAAAAAAACGACAGCGTATTTAGATTGACGAGCACTGCAAGATTGCCATGCCGTCAAAATTAATCTGGTATTCTCTGATCGGTTGTTTCTAAATTCGCAAGAAAAACTCATTAGGCATCTTTGTTTAGCATGCCTGTTTGTTCCACTAAATGCTCACTATTTTAATGGTTGTGCGCAGTTATAACAAGATGTTCGTGAAGAGACGGATTTTCGCCACCCCATTTGTATCAGTTTATCTATGTGTTCATTTCATCAAAGTGTCTGTAATATCTGAACATTAAAATTATTGAAAACCTCGAGGCAAATACAACGGTGAGTTATAATCTTTGTGCATGCGTGACATCTAAAAGTCAAATTCACTTAATGTACGCGTTTCAAGAAATGAACAAGATAGTTGTAGTATGTCTGTCAAAATCAACGTGCCTCCTTTGTTAACTAATTACCGTGCTCCGTTTCTCTGCAGATAACGACCTGGTAGCAAGAGCGCCTCAGGCATTTCACAGCAACGGTGAGTTTTGACGAACATTTCACACTAATTATTTAATTAGTCAATATACATACTGGCTCACGCCCCTAGCTGTCTTGTCCTTTGTTTGCATTTTCTCTTCCTGCTCTTACACCAGCTGTAACACCGCTAAGAAGCAGTAAAGAAGTATTCCAATGCTAGAGTCTAAACCGGAAGTGACGTGAATCTAAAGTGTTACGTATGTGATGACGTTTATTCGAACCGAGAAGTCGCAACGAGGTCGCAACGGAAAGTGGGCGTACGGCCAGTCTGGCAAAGGCGGCACAAACTCTCGCGCAAGCAGAGCACGGGCTTTTCGTTGTCTTCCGAAGGCGCATACGCGTTGGTACGTATGCTCCACTACAATACCCCCGGGGTGAAGGGTAGCCATCCTGGCGACTCAGGGAGTTGGCACAATGAGGGGGTCGTAGTAGGGCTTGAGACGGTCGACGTGTACGGTCTCGCGTCCTCGACGGCGCAAATCTGGTGATTGTGTTAACGGCTCGATGATGTAATTCACCGGGGAGGTCGCGTCAATGACACGGTACGGACCATGGTACCGGGCCAGAAGTTTAGAAGACAGGCCAGGAACGTGCGGGGGCACCCAAAGCCACACAAGGGAGCCAGCATGAAATGTAGGAGCTATGCGGTGAGCGTCGTCGTGTCGAGTCTTTTGTAGACCTTGAGCCTCACTCGTCAGAGACCGAGCCAACTGACGGCAGTCTTCAGCGTATCTGGTGACTTCCGAAAGCGGGGAGCACTCAGATGCATCAGGGCGGTACGGTAGTATAGTGTCGAGTGGGTGGAAAGGTTGGCGGCCGTACAATAGAAAGAACGGGGAAAAACCGGTAGTCGCTTGCGTCGCGGTGTTATAAGCGAAGGTAACAAAGGGCAATACAGCATCCCAGTTAGTTTGGTCGGAGGAGGTGTACATCCTCAGCATGTCGCCAAGTGTGCGGTTGAACCGCTCAGTAAGACCATTTGTCTGTGGATGGTATGCGGTAGATTTACGGTGGATAATGTTGCATTCAGCGAGGATAGCTTGGATGACCTCCGACAGGAACACTCGACCCCTATCACTGAGTAATTCCCGCGGAGCACCATGGCGTAGAATGAAGCTGCGGAGAATGAAGAGTGCAACTTCGTGGGCGGTCGCTGCTGGTAGAGCTCCAGTCTCAGCGTAGCGTGTCAGATGATCGACTCCGACAATAATCCACCGGTTTCCAGAGCTACTATATGGGAGGGGGCCATAGAGGTCTATACCCACGCGGTCGAATGGGCGAGCCGGGCACGGGAGCGGCTGTAACATGCCAGTAAGGTGCCGCGGAGGTGTTGTGTTCTGTTGGCAAGTGGTGCAATACTGAACGTATTTCTGCACAAAACGATACATTCCTCGCCAGTAATAGCGTTGGCGCAGCCTTTCGTAGGTTTTCAGGACTCCTGCGTGAGCACTTTGGGGATCTGCATGGAAATTCATGCAGATGTCAGAGCGCATATGAGTTGGGACAGCAAGGAGCCACTTCCGACCACCAGGCGTGTAGTTGCGGCGGTACAGAATGTTGTCACGTAAGGCAAAGTGGGCTGCTTGCCGGCGCAGCGCTCTCGTGGAAGGGGCAGAAGACGGATCGGTAAGGTAGTCGACTAACAAGGCAAGGTGTGGGTCTTTACGCTGCTCTGAAAGCATGTCAGTGCTGTCGAGTGGTGACAAGGTGGTAAAAGGGGGTGACAGAGAAGCCACATCTGGTGTTAATGGCGATCGGGAAAGTGCATCGGCGTCCGCATGCTTGCGACCGGAACGATATACGACACGGATGTCGTATTCCTGCAATCGAAGTGCCCAACGGCCCAGACGTCCGGACGGGTCTTTCAAAGAGGACAGCCAACATAGAGCGTGGTGGTCTGTGACCACGTCGAAAGGATGGCCGTAAAGGTACGGGCGAAACTTCGTAAGCGCCCAGATTATGGCCAAACACTCCTTCTCTGTCACGGAGTAATTCAATTCAGCCTTCTTAAGAGCGCGACTTGCATAAGCGACTACGTATTCGGTTTGGGTGCCTTTCCATTGTGCTAAAACTGCGCCAAGACCAACGCCGCTTGCATCAGTGTGAACTTCTGTGGCAGCAGTGGGGTCGTAGTGGCGAAGAATAGGTGGCGAGGTCAGCAGGCGGCGCAGCTGGTGAAATGCGTCGTCACATGCAGGTTACCATGCAGATATACCTTTGCTGTTGGAAAGCAGACTAGTCAGAGGTGCAATGGTGGACGCGAAGTTGCGCACGAAGCGACGAAAGTAAGAGCAAAGACCAACGAAACTTCTTAGGGCTTTCAGTGATGTGGGCATTGGGAAGTCAGCGACAGCTCGAAGCTTATCGGGGTCCGGAAGAACACCGTCACTTGTGATGACGTGTCCCAAGATGGTTAGTTTTCGGGCTGCGAAGTGGCACTTCTTGGTGTTAAGTTGTAGGCCTGCAGAAGCTAGACACGTCAGAATCTCGTGGAGACGACGAAGATGTGTCGGAAAATCAGCTGAAAAGACTACGATGTCATCTAGGTAACACAAGCAAGTTTTCCACTTGTGGGCCCGCAATATGGTATCTATCATGCGTTCAAACGTCGCAGGTGCGTTTCAGAGCCCAAATGGCATGACTTTGAACTCATACAGGCCATCCGGTGTTACAAAGGCTGTTTTAGGGCGATCACATTCAGCCATTGGCACCTGCCAATACCCAGAACGCAGATCCAAGGATGTGAAGTACTCGGCGCCTTGTAAACAGTCAAGAGCATCGTCTATTCCTGGTAGCGGGTAGACGTCTTTCTTTGTAATCTTGTTTAAGCGGCGATAGTCCACGCAAAATCTAACGGTGCCATCTTTTTTCTTTACCAGAACCACGGGTGACGACCAAGCGCTTTGAGAAGGCTGTATGACTCCACGTTTAAGCATGTCATCTACTTGCTCCGTAATGACGCGGCGCTCTTCGGCAGAAACGCGGTAAGGACGCTGTCGCAGAGGCGAATGTGAGCCGGTGTCAATAGTATGAGTGACAGTCATGGTGCGGCCCAAAGCAGGTTTCTGAAAGTCGAAAGAAGAGCGAAACTTGTTAAGGAGAGCAACAAGTTGGCTGCGATGCGAGGGGGGAAGGTCTGCGTCAATAGCATTGTCGAATGCTGGTGAGCTTGATGGCTCAGACGCCTGAGTTATTGCGGCAATCTGACATGGCGTTTCGTCGGGAAGAATAATATCATTGATATGGTCGACAGGTTGCACATATCCTAACGTTTCACCATGAAGCAAGCCAATGGGGTAGTTGCAGTGGTTGGTAATCAGCATTATGGTTAAACCAGACGCAATCGTAAGAACGGCAAATGGGAGCACGATGCCCTTGCGTTCAGTAAAAACAGGGGATGGCGTAAACACCACCGTGGCGTCAGGTTGCGCCACACAAGAAAGGCTAATAGGGACTGAAGCTTCCGGAGGCAAGGTGATGTCGTCGTCAGCGATGAGTTTGCAGAGCAGTGGTGAATGGTCGGGTGGTGGAAATTCACAACTTGGCACTAGGGACACTTCCGCACGGCAACAATCGATGATAGCTTCATGACCTGATAAGAAATCCCAAACCAGGATGAGGTCATGAGAGCAAGATGGTAGTACAAAAAATTGGACGATGTACAAAACGTCTTGGATGACGACGCGCGCCGTACACAAAGACGAGGGCTGAATGCGTTGCGCGCTAGCCGTGGACAGCACGATGCCACAGAGAGATGTGGTCACTTTCTTCAGTTTGCAACAAAATTTTGCGTTCATCATAGAAACGGCGGCCCCAGTATCAATTAACGCTTGTGTGGCGACTCCCTCAACATTGACATCAACAACATTTCGCGGCGAAAATGGAGGCCTTGATAATTGCGCAGAAGTTGCAGTTCTTGCCTCTGGAACTGTACTGATTAGTTTCCCTCCTCAGGAGGTGGTCTACGACGCATAGGAGATGGCGATCGGCAACGACGAGATGGGAAACGAGAAGTCGATGGGCGACGATCCGAGTCAGAGTGCCTCTGTTCGTATGCAGACGTGGTGGCCTGCTGCGACGCATAGGTAGGAGTTCCAAAGAAGGCGTACGCAGGTGTGGGACGGCGGCGGCAGTAGCGTGCAATGTGGCCAGCGATGCCACACGCGAAGCAGATAGGACGGTTGTCATGGGTGCGCCACTCATTAGATGGACGGAAAAAGCGAAGTGAGGGCCTGTAAACCAGAGGCGCTGCCGGAGGAGGTGGAGCTGATAAGGATACTGGACGCGGTGGGGGTCGCGCAACCACAGCTGCGTAGCTGAGAGGTGAAGATGGTGCAGGTGGTGCGTAGCTGACAGCTGAGAGATTAGATGCTGCTGAAGTGCATGCGTAAGGGGCCTGCACTGTAGGTAGGACATCGCAAATTTCAGTGCGTATGGCCTGCTGCAGTGTCGAAGGCAGACTTGCGGTGGGCGCGTTGCTATGCGGCAGCAGGGAGAGCTGTCGGGCGACTTCCTCCCTGATGAAGTCTTTGATCTGGTTGGACAGACTTTCTTGGCGAACGTTGACATTTGCGAGTGCGACAGCCGAGATCGAATCTGGTGGTGAGACACTCTGTCGGGCGATGGAACGCTGACGGCGTAATTCATCGAAGCTCTGGCACAGGCTTACGAGGATTGCCACCGAGGTCGGGCTTTTCGCTAGCAACATCTGGAATGCGCCATCCTCAATACCCTTGAGAATCTGCCGAATTTTCTCTTCTTCGGGCATAGATGGGTTAACACGCCTGCAGAGGTCGAGCACATCCTCAATGTAACTCGTAAACGTTTCGCCAGGCGGCTGGGCTCTGTGGCGCAGACACTGGTCAGCGCGGAGCTTGCGGACCTCTGGTCGGTCGAACGCTTCTGTTACGACGGTCTTAAAGGAGGACCAGATGGCGATGGCGGTTTCGCGGTTGGTAAACCAAAGCTTAGCTACGTCTGCCAAGTAAAAGATAACGTAAG